CATGTATCAAGGTGGGTGCCGGCATTTACATGGTAGATGTCTATGGGCTCCGGTAACTACTTAAAATTAGGTGGGCTGTGAGCTCGTTCACCTATCTAAGCAATAAAAAAAAACACAAGCTGTTGGAAGCGTTTTCGGAGGGACCTAATAGAAACGGCCAGAACGATGGTCCAAAGGTTTTAATGAATCATCAGTCATACATTAAGAACACGATAAGAATTGAACTTGTCAATGAATTGGTCTTATGTCGTTTTCGAGTTCGAAAATCTTTCATTAGTCATTTGTTTTATTAGTCAATTGTCTCGGCTTCCAGTTAACCGGACATTGATCAATCAGATTCGTGGTGGTAGGATGATGATCGCGGACCACGACCATCGATTTTTTACATATCACTACATAGTATAAAACAAAATCGCTTTCTCTGTCCCTATATCCCTATGTATGATTAAATATTTAAAGCTACGCAACGGATTTTGATGCGGTTTTTTTTTAATAGATAGAGTGATTGAAGAGGAAGGTTTATATGTATAATAACATCCATTAAATAGTGGAGAAATCAATAATAAATTACAGTTTCCGAAGCGAAGCGAAGGCGGGTCGCTGGTTACATATAAAAAAGGTCAATAAAGACCAAACCAGAAATAAAATACCTACCATTATTATTGCTTTTATGGTTTTATCTAACAGAATACAAAGATACTGATTCGTACAAAATTAAAGGCTAAACTCGTGGAGCAGAAGCTAGCTGATGGCCCAAAGAGGCCATTGTCACAGTCAGCTGCCAAGATTCTTAAAGTTACGACCCATTAAACCCTGTGGACCGCCTATTTCGTTCGACTTGTGAAGATTGTGGTCATCAAGAAGGACATTATTTAGTTGGTTAAGCGCTAAGACCTTAGCACAAGCAGTCTAATTTATTCGAAGAATTATAATGGATTACGCTATGGTAATGTTTTCGTATGGTTTTTTAAGTCGATGTCCAAATAATCCAGTTTCATTTTATCTACATGATTACCAGTAGTCGGAGAGGCTATTCTGATTTAGCCGTGTATAAAGAGCGAGCTCACGGAGCTGAGCCTGAGAGACTTTGCTAACATTTGCCCTAGGAAGAGCAATGCTTCGCAAAATGTACCACCGATCGTCAAGCACTAAGAAGATACAACAAGAAACTCATTGGTTTGTGTCTGTCGGGAAAGTTGCACGTCGGACCCTTCGTCGCATTCGACGAGGCCAGTTATGACTGGTGGATGGAATGCTAAAAGCAGACAGGGCGGATCGGGAGGATCCGAAATGACGTGTTTAGGGCGACGGCGGCTGTGTTGTCTAGTCGTCTGAGTCAAGTATGCAATTAGAACGTTCCAGATGATAGAACAATATTTCTTCTTCTTCTTCTTCTTTGTCGCTTCCTCATTACTGAGGGTCGTGACCACCTTGGTCCAGTTTTTGCACTAGCTTCCTCCAATATTGCCTGCACTCGACCTGCTTAACGGCGCCCGAGACGCTGGTGTTTGTGGCCTCCTTGACAATATCCGTTCACCTGGTTGGCAATCTTCCTCGACTTTATGGCTTAATATTCAACCATAGAACAGGCGATTTGTTGAAGCTATGGTTTCGCCATCAGTATATACGGGTGAAGGGGGTCATCATCGCACAAAGCGCCACGTAAGTGCGAGGGCCTCACCCTTCGCCGGTGCCACAAATAAACGACATTCACGCAAGCGACGGAAACCGACGAGGTCATCCACCTGTCCTCGTGAAAGGTGCCAGGAAATATAAACAAATCTCTTATCTGTTACTAATATTTACTACAACGCGTTGTTTTTCTTGTAACGTAATGATTCTTAGTTCGATTTTAGTTGCCAATATTTTATCCATGAGGTTTTTCGTGTTTTATTACTTTCTGCTTGAAGATAGGAGAGAGTGGTAAAAAAGCTTTATGCTTCCATACGTAGTTCGTTCTGTAGCGAAGAAATCGTGCTTTATAGTTTATAGGGTATAAAAGCTGACAGTTTTTATTTGAAAGCTAGTGCTTCCAATGCGGTCTCTTTTAATTATAAGATTTTAGGAGGACCTGACCGGTATTTAACCCTTGACTGCTATGTAGGTCACTAGTGCCCTACTAGGCGCATTGAAGTAATTATGTCGATTTTCGTTGTTACTAAGGCACCCGAATATCTAGTAGATTTTGGAAAGGACGATTTTTTAATTTTTTTTTATTGTCCTGGGAAATACCGTGGAGGGGAGCTCATTCCATAACCGGATGGTACGTGACAAAAAAGACCTCTGGAAACGCACTGTCGAATCCGAAGATACTGAGAATAAATCGATTTCCAAAAGACCTAAATGCCTAAAGCATACATTAACAACCGAAGAAGGCAAAGTTAGGCATTCGAAACGCTTAGTAACAGAAATCGACATAATTAGTTAAGCACGCCACGAAGGGCACCGGTGACCTATATAGCAGTGGATGTGTTAAAATACTTTTACGGTTTAAGCTCGCGTTCTTGATTGTCATTATATTATTTAGGACGACCGCGGCCATGAAAAGTAAAGTATACCAAACGTCAGGACAACCTCAGATCGTTCTAGCCACTAAAATATAGCGGTTGCTTCTGTGAATTTTACTGATACATATTTTACTAGTACAAACACTTTATGAATCAATCTTAACGCATCCTAATTTTCATTTATCTTGTAATGACATCTAACACACATATAATATACTTAGAAACTGCTCATAATAATTTTATAATAATACTAGCTGGCCAGAACTGAAGTGCCAGAACTGAACACAGAAGAAATTACATATACATATATATATAAAGATTTTTTATTCGTCTTTGTTTTTACTTTGAAAACATATCAGCAATCGCATAAAAAACTTAAACACACTTTTTAAGGATAGCCTTTATTGCCTAATGCCTGGAACCAATGTTTGCGGAGCCATTCATTCTAGATCAGGAAGCCAAGCAGCCATAACAAGACAATGATGACATTAAATTAAAAACTTGTCATTATACAATGACAGCCAACAAATTTGATAACACGCTTCAGTTCATTTCATTGTTCATTGCTGGAAATGATTACAATCTATTATCACTTTATCTCACGGTTGCCTTATTTAGTACACAGTATTGAGGAAAATTTATTCATTGAAAAAGCTCACAGTAAAAAATTGAATTCCAAAATAAAAACTTGGGACTTTCTATTCGTGTTGGGTATATAATAGTTGAATCTCACTAAGCTATTATGTTGAAAATATTGTGTTCAAATGTGTCAATGTGTGTGCATATTGCTTTTGCATGTATTTAATGTTTTCTCATATATCTCTAGAGAATATTTAGAATATTTACAGCTGTACTTCATTTTTACATTAGTATGTATAGTGTATTAATGAGGTCAAGGTCAACAACCAATATCACACCCTTCTAAATGTTTATTCTTGCTCAGAAGCTAATGTATTTTCTTTGTGTAACTATTTGTTACGTTTTGAGACAATTAAAGTACACTACATATGTAAGTACATTTGACATTATTTTTTTAAAAAGAATATGTATTTCGTTATGTATTCGTTTCTTAATAATGTACATAAAAGTTTCGTCGAATAATAGTACATCGCAACATACTTATTGTATCTTTTTCAGAATTCCTCTAGATAAAAACAGTTTTGTGTTTTTGTGATAAGACCGTGTATTGTAGAATTCTACGTCTCTGTTTACTGTTTTGCAATGCTCATTCTGTTTTAGTGTGCAATAAAGTATACTCTTTCTTTCTTTATATTACAACGCATAAAATATCATATAGTAACTATACATAACCATAATTAGTCTGATGGTCAAATTTGACAAGATATGATGACATCTTGAGTCCGCATGGTAGCTACCACGACCCTGCCTATTTCTACTGTGAAGTAGTAATATTTTTTGTTTGAATAGTAGAGCAGTTGTTGTACTGTTAAAACGGAGACTTAGAACTTATGTACCGAGGTAGGTAGTGGCATTCACGTCATAGGTGACTATGGGCTCCAGTAACCACTTAATACCAGGAGGACTGTGAGAGCCTACCCACAATGGAGGGGCGTCTATCCACCTAAGCAATAAAAAAATAAAAAATGCAGAGGTGCATAGAAGATGTACTGACAACAAAGACTGTTAAACTACATCAATTTCAGAGATTATCAAACATAACTGGATGTGTTAATCCACTACTGCATAGAGGCAGACACATATTAGTTACAATTTGGAGCTTTTGATAGTTACAAGACCTCCACATTAATTATATGTTGGCTTCATAGTGAAAATAGGCAGAGTTATTGTACCCATTTAGCACATATCAATGAGTAGCACTTATAGTAATTATGCATCTTAAATATATTACATTAGCAACATTATTACATTAATCATTTGGAAATCATGTTTTCTCAGACAAAACTGACCATTGCTTAAACATTTCGTCTTATTTTCAAATATGTAATTTAGCAGAATCTAAATAAAGCTTTAAATTTAAAAGAGTTTTAATTTATTAATACAGTTTCTAAACAAAGTTTTTTTTAAAGGTTTCCATACCCTTTTGTTTATCTCAACAATTCTTTTGGAAATACTGTATATATGAATTGTTATTAAGAAATTTCTTCATTATTAATTTCAACAGAAGCTTTGGTATTACTGTCGAAATCCTATATTAAATTGTGTATTTTTCGGTATTTTGTTTATTCACTTAATTAGCGTAATTCCAAGAAAACGAATTTATTGCACCTGACTCATGTTATTAACAAAGGTTAATTAAGAGACTGAATACCCAAAATTTTCCATATTACATGCAGAATGTTATCACGCCTTGCGGAATATAACATTAATTTTAAAGATATCAAATACTTTAGTCGAATGATGACATAATCTTTATTTTATACTGTTATAGCGTAAACATTAACAAAAGTGAAACTACACCTACACCGCGCGAAAACAATCCATTCTGAGAAAGTATTTTTTTTTTTCACGAACCTGCTGAGCGACTGGCTCTAGAATGCTTTCGATAATTTTCGTGTGGAACACAGGCATCTTGCTGATCACTTATTTACATTAGAATAAAAACAAAAAAATCACAAACAACCACGAAATAAAGCCAACTAAACCAATAAACCAGAGAGGCACTAACAAACTGAGATGTAATATTATTAATACCTGGCTACATAATACGGAGCTATGACACATCACTTACGTCATACGTCATTGTCACAACTAGTGATGTGACAAATCAAGTCACATCTGAGTTCCAATTTCAGTCTTAACATCATGATCACATTTAAATGAGAGATTTTCAATTTATTTTTAAATGAAATACACCATTGGAATTATTCGTGCCTTATTTTAAAAATGAATGGCGAAAAAGCCACATGGACTCGGGCAATACACCTATGCCGGTATTCAAATCCCACACACAGGGTGACCAGGTGCTTATTTTCTTAACGAAATAATAAATGGTGGTAGGGCTTACTTTAAACTCTTATCTTGTCTACATCTGCCGCAAAGCTATCGTGCTGAGATGTTCGGCCTTAGCACATAAGCACGATAGCGGTTTAATTTTACATTTGAGACTTTTGCCCATTTTTTATTTACATTACACACTACACCACGGTAGCGAAATTTCTAAGGTCGACACTTTGGGACTCAGGTTATTTTTGTTCTTTGTTTTTTTTCGAAAAAACTTTTAGAAGTGTTATCACTTTGAAAATATGAACAAACTAAGAAAAAGTACAATAAATTTGAAAATCGATGCCTCCAATGAACACTACGCTAACACCAAATTCGTAGATTTACAGGAGGAGCGTTTAAGCGAAAAAAGTTGATAAAATCTTTATTATTGCAGATTTTTTTTTTTAATCATTTATGCGCCAGGCGTAGTGAAAATGAGTTATTACATAAATTAAAAGCAGCGTGTATGCTTTGTCATTATTTGACATGCGAATTTTAGTGCAGTGCATAGTTATAATATTATATAATTTACCATTCATTCATCCATAATTCAACTAATAATTAAAAATCCATTTGTTTTCAATGTCATCCCTAAGAAAATCATTTATGTGATAATAATTTTCACTAATAAGATTACCTTTTAGGTTTTTTTTTAAATTAAAATCATCTAAGTCTCTTAATTTCTTCGGTAGTTTATTAAATATCCTTACGCTCATACCTAGTATACTATTATTCTTTAATGTTTTTTTTGTGTAACTAGCTGATTTACTCTTGCTTCGAACCCCATCAATAATGATTAATTGTAATACTTTTAACATAGTGAAGCGATTTGCGTGAAAAACGAAAATTCCAAAATTTTGAGTTAGAGTAGTATTCATTGGAGGCATCGAAAGCCTATTGGAAAATATTGGGATGCACATTTACTCTCTCATGATATTTGTTTTTACTATGAATACGTTTTAAAATTATTTTTACGATGGAGATTAATGTATATCAATGCTTAAATTGTTAACACGAAGTTCAATGAAGTTATAATTTAAATCATTTTTCTTTGTTTTTATTGTAATTTACAAGTGTGCAAATTCATTTAAACAACTCGCACATGGGCATCATCGCGTGCAAAAGGCGGATTTAGGTTTTCCTAGCCCTTTTAGAGATATCTAGACAGCAGGACATAATTTTCACAGTGTCCGAGGCTGGCACCTGAGCTATGTTGGATTTGTTTCGACTTCATGCATCTTTCGGTCGTAGTTAATTGATTCTTTTACTGTGGAATGAAAGAGGTTTCACTTCACAAGACAAAATATTTATGTGTATGGGCTATGTTCCCTGTGCTTACTCATATGAACAAAAAAGCTATGTATATTTTTAGCGGGAAATTTGAGTATATACCGTACCACTGAAATCCCTATCTAATAGGTCTATGGAAGATACGGATTAATCAAATATTTTAAACGGATTAATTGCTCATTTAGAGACTAGTGCGGTATCGTAAAGGCAAATTTCCTTATTTTCCAGATTTTATATTTCGTCAAATAGCGTACATACTTCATGTAAGTGTGATAACTCACTCAATATGTTACACCTATAGAATTATAGAGACCCAATCCAAAAAATGCGTTTCTTGAAATCATCGAATAAAGTTTTCAAACTGGAAACGCATAGAAAAAGGAGATAGAGTGAAAGAGACCGCTGGATAAGTTTGTCCCTTTAAAAGCTACTTTTGGTCATTTGATTATTAATTTATTTATATAAACTTTATTTCACTTTGTCTTTTTGAAACCATAACATTTTGTTACTAAGAATTAAGAATCACTGAAAAGGCCTGTTCTAGGTCGATTTTTGAATTTAAGTCGAAATCCAAAAATTTCGAATTGGGCCTGTAAAATTCTTTAAGTGCGATCTTTGAAAGTTCACAATTTATTTATTTATTGCTTAGATGGGTGGACGAGCTCACAGCCCACCTGGTGTTAAGTGGTTACTGGAGCCCATAGACATCCACAACGTAAATGCGCCACCCACCTTGAGATATAAGTTCTAAAGTCTCAAGTATAGTTACAACGGCTGCCCCACCCTTCAAACCGAAACGCATTACTGCTTCACGGCAGAAATGGGCAGTGGTGGTACCCACCCGCGCGGACTCACAAGAGGTCCTACCACCAGTAATTACGCAAATTATAATTTTGCGAGTTTCATTTTTATTACATGATGTTATTCCTTCACTGTGGAAATCAATCGTGAACATCTGTTGAGTACGTATTTCATTAGAAAAATTGGTACCCGCCTGCGGGATTCGAGCACCGGTGCTTCGCTCAACACGAATGCACCGGACGTCTTATCCGTTAGGCCACGACGACTTCAAAATTTATTGTTTAAGCATTCTCAGAGTACGATATCAAAATCGCAATAGGCGGTAGACTGTGAGCCCGCACTTACAGGTACCATCATCTTCCTCACTTTATCCGCGGAGAGACATGCGATATTAGAGAACTTATATCTCAAGGTGGGTGGCGCATTTACGTCGTAGATGTCTATGGGCTCCAGTAACCACTTCACACTAAGTGGGCTGTGAGCTCGTCCACCCATCTAAGCAATAAAAAAGGGTGCGTGTACTTATGTACGCGCGTAAGAAGTTATACTTTTTTGTTTTATTTTATTTTAATTTGAATCAATTTGAAAAAAAAAACGATAAAACAACATCCTCAAACACGCATATTGGACATCTCTTTTCTTGACATCGTATAAATTCGGTAATTCTCGGTACGGTTCGAAAAGTTCATCTGCGGCTATATTCAGACTCGCCAAGTTACGTCGGTCGTATTGTAATGAGCGATTTAGTGGGAAACTTCATTCTGTTAATTTTGTGTCACGGTGCACGCGCATCGTAAAATTTCAACTTCATCAATTTTTCATAACGCGCCTAAAGAAATAACTTCAAAACCATATTTGACTTTCTGCTTTGTATACATAACTAAATTTTCGACTTTCTCTCACTAGGGATAGCAGCAGCATTCACGTTCTGATTAGGCCTCGATGACCTCTTAGTATTAAGTGGGCTATAGGCTGGCCTGCCCATCGAAAGCTATAAATAAACGCGGCTTATTGCTTTCTCTTCAAAAGTCTATTGAAAAACCGGAAATTACCTCTTGCCGATACGGTTATTTAAGGCCGTTACGTCCTAATTAAATTCACCGGTGGTTGTCATTCTGAAGAAAAGCTCCTGTGCCGTGAACTGCGGCTCACTAACTTAATTGGAGGCCATAGACACAGCGATAATATTGTTCACCTTTTGTCCGATATAGGCAGTCTTTGCTTTAAAGTTTAAACAAGCTTTAAAGATGCTAAAGTATTTGAAAATGAATATTGATTTCCGCATGTCTAAGCGAAAGCGCTTAGTGAGGAGGGCTTTCATTTGGGGGCCTTACCTCAGTTGTAACTTTTTAAGATAAAAGTCTCCGTTGTATTTTATACTAGAACCGAAGACATGCAAAAATTAGTTGTAAGCTTACAACTGTATAATAATTACAATTGTCTTTAATGTGTCCTAACAATATGTAGTACCGATTTCATGCGTCATAGCGAATTTAAGTGATTCACATGAAACTTTCGCTAGCTAGTCTCATTTTGGGTCAGCGACATCTATTGGCGATAGCGGAAACAAAATGTTCACCATAAATTTCACCGACTTACAGCATTGAAATTATAGAAATGCTACTCAAATTTTATACATTCCCTTTTTATACAGTCTCACCATTACTTAGTTTAGTTTATGAAAATATGTTTTCTGGATGTCTTGGAATGGTAAAAGACGGGCAATATTCATATCTATTCCATTTTTTTATTTATTTGGTTAAGACCAAGATTTTACTAAGGCAGTGCTAAGGCAGCAAAGGATGCGTCATCTGGGTAAAATTTTTCAGGAAGCACCAGGCAGGAGGCTATACCGCATTTCATCATTTGCCAAGATAGATCAATAAAAAGAAAACGCAAAATTTTAATAACAACAAAATATTTATTTTACGTATTTTAACTTTTTTGTTTTTAATATCTAGTCTTTAAAATTAACTAAGATCACACCCAACGGATGACTAGAACATACCATTTGACTGAAACATTTAAAAATTTAAACATAGATGACACTTATATAAGACATTGAATTGACTTTTAAAATATCAATGGATTAAGTATTTTACATTCTTAAGTTATTCTAAATATTAAATTGAAATAAAATTGTGCTTTTAATAGTAAATTTATGGCGCTAGAATTAACAGTAATTCAATTAGATTTAATACTATAATTTTTTTCGCAATATAATCTATATTAACACTAGAATTTATATGAATTATCTATTTTGAATTGTATATTTGAAAACAGATTGATTGAGAGGGAAGGCAACAGTCTGCTTATTTGAGAAACGTCAGAATGTATCTAATTTGGATAGTGTTCTCTCAATGATCTAAACCTGACCCATAATGACTAACACCTCATAGCTTAGAACAATTGAATGCCCTACATTTCTTTTTCTATTACTTACTGACAATTTGAAAAATTAAAAATAAATGGTGCACGTTCAACTTGGTGCAGGTGAAAGAAGTGAAACTTCTTTTGCGGTAAGTAGTCTAATTGTGGTTTTCTTCATTTTTCTTCATATTTCTCTTGTAATAGGGAATGCTGTGTTTAAGAGAAAGGACCTCTTCGCCACTTATATATATTTTAAAGTATATATAGAAAAAAATTTATATATTGTTAAATCGTTCATTAAAAATAAAATATAAGATAGTTAATATGTTACTGCCATCTACAGGATCAATGAGAAACTGATAACAAGCCATCTAGTGCCCGACTCCCATAAACAGAATGTTTAAGAGAAACGACTTAGCTCGCGTCATTCTTTCCCTTTCTTCACGGTGGAGTGGTTCGAGAGACGCTTTGTCTATTTTCTCACTCCCGCTCTTCCTACATTGTATCTTTCCTCTCTAGCGGTAACGAATCTGTCGCGAGTTAAATTTTACTCTCAACGCACCTAAAGAAGTTTCACTTCACAAATCGATTTTTTTTATGTTAATAGAGCTCTATCGTCCGTAGATACTATGGCACTTCACTGTTTTGCCTTTGCCTATTTATTTACACACAACTACAACAATTTATAACAATATAATTAATTATCCATTATCCACTGTACAATATAAAAATGACTATAAGATTAGACCCGTTAATGAACTTGTTAGACGTAAATGTACCGTCTTAATATAAATATTTACTTCTATAAGTTATTACATATTTAATTGATAAAGGCATGTGACACGTAATGGCGGGTCCCGAAGCGAAGTCCTACCGTAATGCGAACGCTGCCGTGGAAATTACGAGGCAATATTTACACGTATGGTTTATTATTTAGATGAAAAGATGGGCTCACGGCTCATCTGATATTGAGGTGTTACCAGAGCCTGTAGACATCACAGCATGAAAGCCCCTATCTATCTTGAGACACGTCAAACTCTTGAGGCGCCTGTCAAATCGCAATGCATGCTTACTTCACGACAAAAGCAGAATTTTGGCGCCAAAATTAGAAATAGACCACAGAACACTAACAACAGTTAACTGTGTTAGCACAAATAAAACTATTTTTACGAATAAAATTTATGTGTTTTATTACCTTTATATTATTTCCGACGTTTTGAATTATTTCTTACAATGTTCGTTGTCAAAACGTGGTGTTTTCGGATAACAATATAAAACAGGAGATTAAATCGTTAAAGTTTTTTTTTAATTTATGGGTACGGATCGCGAAAATCGAAAAGAATACTATATATGGTATTCGTTTGAATCGGCGGGCTGGTCATTAATTAGTCTATGTCGACTTGTTAGCGCTCCCATCAGTTATGTTATAATATAATGCATACGTCAATGTTAAAAGTAATAATGTACAAATGAAAGAAGCTATTTTTTTAATTTTTTTTATTGCTTAGATGGTTGGACTAGCTCGCAGCCCACCTGGTGTTAAGTGGTTACTGGAGCCCATAGACATCCACAACGTAAATGCGCCACCCACCTTGAGATATAAGTTCTAAGGTCTCACGTATAGTTATAACGGCTGCCTCACCCTACAAACCGAAACGCATTACTGCTTCACGGTAGAAATAGGCAGGGTGGTGGTACGCAACCGCGCTGACTCACAAGAGGTCCTACCACCAGTAATTACGCAAATTATAATTTTGCGGGTTTGATTTTTATTACACGATGTTATTCCTTCACCGTGGAAATCAATCGTGAACATTTGTTGAGTACGTATTTCATTAGAAAAATTGGTACCCGCCTGAGATTCGAACATCGGTGCATCGCGCTCAACACGAATGCACCGGACGTCTTATCCTTTAGGCCACGACGACTTCAATTCTAATTTCGGCATTCTAATTTCGGAAGTATTATCCTGTATGGTTAAAATAATTATTTCCTTCGTGTGAAGTGAAAGTCGATTTGCAATTTTCGCCGCTGCTTCGAATAACATTTTATTCCACATAAATGCAAATTTCGTGGGCGAGAAATCGTGCAGTAATGGAGCAACAAAGACTCGTAATTAGATAGTGAGTGCTCATGAGTCTTTACACCCATTAGTGGTAGCGACACACGCAATCTACAAATACTCAACAATGTCACATTTAATGGATATGTTAGGACAGCTGACCCCGTAACTAAGGTTCAAGCCGTGCGGTTGACTTTTGTGCCTTTCCGTCAATAGCTTGTGGAAGATAGGGAGTATGGCGCATTCGAACAGTTCGGACTCCGAGCTCGCGGTGTACATCTTCCGTTGCTCCGCCGAATCTTGACGCTTTGAATCGCTTCGGTACGACGCCGACTTTCTGTCTTCGCGTTTGTTCGGTGACCCTGTGAATTTTAATGATATTTTCATTTTTATTTCGGTGAGCGAGCTTGGAACGGAAATGTAATACATGGACATGTCAACGACATTTTGGAAGTCGTCGTGGCCTAAAGGATAAGACGTCCGGTGCATTCGTGCATTGAGCGATGCACCGGTGTTCGAATCCCGCAGGCGGGTACCAATTTTTCTAATGAAATACGTACTCAACAAATGTTCACGATTGACTTCCACGGTGAAGGAATAAAACCGTGTAATAAAAAACAAACCCGCAAAATTATAATTTGCGTAATTACTGGTGGTAGGACCTCTTGTGAGTCCGCACGGGTAGGTACCACCGCCCCGCCTATTTCTGCCGTGAAGCAGTAATGCGTTTCGGTTTGAAGGGTGGGGCAGCCGTTGTAACTATACTTAAGATCTTAGAACTTATATCTCAAGGTGGGTGGCGCATTTACGTTTTTGATGTCTATGGGCTCAGTAACTACTTAACACCAGGTGGGCTGTGAGCTCGTCCACACATCTAAGCAATAAAAATAAAAAAAAAGGCATCAATGTAGGCTTGCATTAGTATATCAGTCTATTTTATTGGATTTCAAGTTTACTAAAATAGTCTAATTTAGAAAAAAAAAACGTGTCTTTCGCGAATCATAGCTTAATGAGGGATGGCGTGTGCCCGCCCCGTCGTGACCGGTCAGGCAACGGTAAGGTTGCTCAAGAATATCGGTGTTACTAAGGGCACAATCGGTTCTAAGTTCGATGTGTGTTTGTGACTTTCTTAAATTGCTTTTGATGGACATGCTCAAGATCTACCACTTCATACTACAATCAAATAAACTCAGCCTTACCAGATTTATGCCTTGACGCGACATTAGGGCTGCTCTTGTAATGTTCTGGCCTAGGCTGACTGCCGGCCTGGGTTAACCTAGGAGACTCCACAGCCTTCGCTCTCTTCAACGGTTCAGCCTCCTGCCTCAGCCTCTTCGCAGGAGAATCCTGGGTTTTCGACACTCTAATAGTATCAGGCTCCGGCTTCCATTCTGATTCCTGGACAGGTTCTTGTTTCTTTTTAGGCTCCTCGTGTCTTCGAGAGATCTCCGTTTTATCTGGCCTCTCTTCCGCGTAAGATCTCACCTGAAAAACAATTGTACGGCTTAAAATATCGGAGTCACGATCGAGCATCACGAATCAGCATGATCGAGATTAAGAATTTGGGTCTTCAACTAATAAGAAGCAGGAGAATTGCAAAACAAACTTGAATTTATTACATTAATGTACATAATTACGTTTTGCCACTTTTATTTTGGATTGTATATCGACGATGCGAAGATTTGTAGAATGATGCTTCCATTCCACAATCCGCCTAATAAGAACTTTGAAAAAAACATGTATTTTCAGTACAATATTACCAGATACCTTTTTTTTTTTTTATTGCCCTTGTAGGCAGACTAGCATACGGCCCACCTGATGGTGAGTGGTTACTGTCGCCCATGGACTTCAGCAATGCCAGGGGCAGAGCCAAGCCGCTGCCTACCGTTTAATACTCTCCACAAGCCTCGTTTGAAGAAGGACATGTCACAGCGCTCGGGAAACACCGTGGAGGGGAGCTCATTCCATAGCCGGATGGTACGTGGCAAAAAAGACCTCTGGAAACGCACTGTGGATGACCGCAGTGGCTCCAGGTAGTATGGATGAACTCTACTCCGGTGGCGGGCGGTGCGATGGTAAAAACGAGATGCCGGTATCATCTCGAACAATTCCTCAGAGCACTCCCCATGGAACATACGGTACAAAATGCAGAGGGAAGCGAAGTCGATACATACGAGTACGTTGCATCAAAACTTTCAAATTCAGTGTTAAGAACACGCAATGGAACGCAATTAGAAATTAACCGATATGAAGGGTCAAGGACTTTGCGTGACGCCGTTTTTCATTAATTCTTTTACTTGAAGCGGTGAATGAGGACACGCCCACCGAGTATTATGTAATGTAAGGCACAAAACAAACGATTCGAACTTCCACCACAAAGCTGAAAAAGCACTTATGAGCACATAGGAGCATATAGGCTCCAGATACTAAGCACCATGAACCGAAATAGCCTTTTTTTTTTGTATTGCTTAGATGGTTGCACGAGCTCATAGCCCACCCAGTGCTTAGTGATTACCGGAGCCCATAGACATCGACAACGGAAACGTCGCCAACCACCTGGAGATATAAGTTCTAAGGTCTCAGTATAGTTACAACGGCTGCCCCACCCTTCAAACCGAAACGCATTGCTGCTTCACAACAGAAATAGGCAGGGTGGCGGAACCTAACCGTGCGGACTCACAAGAGTTCCTACTACCAGTAACTACGCAAATTATAATTTTGCGGGTTTGATTTTTATTAAACGATCTTATTCCTTCACCGTGGAAGTCAATTGTGAACATTTGCTAAGTACGTATTTCATTAGAAAAATTGGTACCCGCCTGCGGGATTCGAACACCGGTGCATCGCTACATACGAATGCACCGGACGTTTTATCCTTTAGGCCACGACGACTTCAAAATGCCAATCTAATGATGATGATGATCCATCCGACCGATTTCGGTCATGGCGACCACTTCGACTCATATCCGGCGATTCGGCGTTCGTGCCCTCAGAGATGTCTTATATAGCCTATATAGCGCTTATATACCTAGCGGGGAAACTCCTTGCGCATTGATCATGTAACATGACAGTGATGTACTCGCCTGTGCCATCGACTGTCTTCGTTTTGTTTGCGACTGCTGTGGAGGAGTGCTCACCGGCTGCGGGAATTCAGATCCTCGACGCTGCAGTGTTCAAATTATTATCATTTATTATACGTTAGGTCGACTTCAATAAAAATTTTTTGTTCATGAATTAAATAGATATTTATATTCAGACGTCCAAAAGCTTAAGTTAAGTTAAGGTTCGTCTCATTAAGGGTAGGTGTTCGGGGTAAAGTTTGAAGGAGAACTGGATTGGGAAGCAGTAGAAAAATGTATATTGGCATACAGGGGACGGAGAACCAAAGTCGACGACATAGCTCTCAAAGTAAGCAGGCTAAAGTGGCAAGTCCTCCAACCATGGGGACCGACGACTTAGTGCGCACGGGGGGAAGTCGTTGGATGCGGAAGGAGGAGGACCGCATTCTGTGAAAGGCATTGGTGAAGGCCTATGTCCAGCAGTGGGCAGATAAAGGCTGATGATGATGATGATTATGATGATGATACAGTGGAAAGATAGCTAATAAATAGTACCTTGGCATGTCGATCAGACATTCGCAGCGTCTCCGCATCTCGATAACCTTCTGGCGTGCCTCCTCTTGCCGGACCTGTCCTCAAGAATATATGTTAATCGACACAAACTGTCAGAGCGCTAGTAGTGATAGGATGCAAATCATAGAACCAAAAACGAATGAAGAAGAAAAAAACATCAGATGAGGAAGAAAGTCCCTGCAATGGATACTGGAGAAACAGCCCAAGAAGGATTAATGTCAGGCAGGCGACCGGTCATAAAACTCACGCGAAGACCCTATGCAGCATGACAAGAGGACATGCAACGCCAACACCATATAATGTGAGATTAAGGCAAGAAGAAGAAGAATTAAAAGCAATCATAATTGTCGGAGCAACGTGGGATAAAATTAATCCACCAATATTATTTAAGTAATTACTTGTGGTTGGGTGTGGGCTTCTTTTTATACCGTAATAAACTAAATATTCTGGTTTGGATTGCTGATTTTCCAATGCAGCAGACTTTGCGAAACACGATTGCGTCGATGATTTTAATGACATCATATTAATGTCGCGCGTGGTCTAAGTTTAGTTTTACGCCAAAACCATCAAAAGTTCTCAAAAAGCATTAACGTTTCAAAATTAGTTAAAGCTTTAAGATAAATAGCCAATGGTATAATCAAGTCACTATCCATTATTAAAGGCCCTTTTCAAACCGCATTTGAAGAAGGATCGATTGAGGTACTTTGTCTACCAATTAACTTGAGAACAAATTACCAACGTACCGTAATTAATTGAAGCATTTGATGCTCTTCTCTCCACAGTTCTATCCGCTTCCCTGTAACAAATACATCTGCAGTAGAAAAGAACGCCTCTGCGTTCACATCCCACGCATCAATGATAATTATTTTAATTAATTAAAAAAACTTATTGTGAATTTTTTTTTTTTATATTGCGGAGATAGATGAACGAACTAATGTGACCTGATGTTGTGTGGCCGCCAGAGTCGTGAGATATCTCAACATGAATATGGCCACCCTTGAAGACACAAAGTCTATATTATTCTCATTGTATTTTATAGCTGCTGTTGTATTTGCTTACTATAAACTCAATGATGATCTAGAAGATTGCACAAAGGGGGAATGAGTTGTTCGCACCGGGCATTTCCATATTGCAATAATTGTTACGTTATAATACTCAATGTAAAAATTAATATTATAAAAAAAGACATGCCCGCTGAGTTTCTTGCCAGTTCTTCTCAGGACGCAGGCTAGTTTTTGTGAATTGGCGGTAGTTCTTTTTGACGTTCAACAAGTGTGTACTTTCATTTATGTTGTATAATTTTTTTTGATTTGATTTGATTTGTATTCTTCGTACTCAAATTAGTAATGGGCAGGACGAGAGACCGGCCCGGACTACTATCAGAATGCTTAGGAAGCGGTTGCCCATACTCCGCTGAATTTCTTAGAAGCTTATGACACACTTGGGAAGAAATAGGGTAATAATAGTTTAGACCTAGACTAGAGAATTTTTTCTTAGATGGGTGGTCGAGCTCACATCCCACCTGGTGTTCAGTGGTTACTGATACCCATAGACATCTACAACGTAAATGCGCCACCCACCTTGAGATATAAGTTCTAAGGTCTCAAGTATAGTTACAACGGCTGCCCCACCCTTCAAACCGAAACGCATTACTGCTTCACAGCAGAAATAGGCAAGGTGGTGGCGTGCGGACTCAAAAGAGGTCCTACAACCAGTAAAAAAGATCCAGATCCCATTATAAGCGCAATTTAATATCTCCTGATGGCGGCAACTCCTGTACCTTTGGTGATGAGGTGAAGGCTGCTGTCTGCTCTTCTCCGACACACTTCGCTGCATCGGAGTGTGATGATGACTGGCTACGGGAACACGAAACAATGATTAATTGAAAACAAATGTTTTGCAAAAATTCTGCCTAATTTCGGATAAACAGTATGTTGATAGACCTGAATAAAAACGTGCTTTAAGTGTCAATTTCATGAGTATAGGAGCCAAATATTATCGTTCGCACTCTTCAAATCTTAAGGTAGACTATCCTCCCATCTGCTGCTTGCGATTTCGACTAACTAGAACCTTAATTGCTGTCTATCACCCATGACAAACTTTATAATGTATAAACTATATCATGTATAAACTATCCGATTTTTGTCCAAGTAACGAAAATGATGTAGAGGACGGCACAGAAAGATTCATTAAGGGTTGGGTATATACATTAATTTCGCTAATCTTAGTTTTATCGCGACTATACTCCTCCTTGCCTCGATAATCCTCAATGATGAGGGTCGTGGCCTCCTCGTGGCCTACTATTGTTATACTTTAAAATACCTGGAGGAGATTTTTGGCAGGTGTACTGAAATGTGTTAGTGTCCCACAGGTCGCTCTGGACTACTATGAAGTTCTCTTTTTTTCTTTTCTCCGAGTCTCTTCTTTGGCCTGAAAGAGGTGGAGGAGGAAATACACGTAAGCACGACTTTTACAAATGATTAGTTTACAAATTTTTAAAGTTAATGCGTAGACACAGTTGTGACTCATTAGGTCTTAAGTAGGTGCCGAAGTAGTGATCATTCTACCACGCGGCCGAAACAGGCAAGATGTTAGTTAAATTTTTTTTTTTTTTTTATGTTAGTGCTCTGTCGATTGCACCTATAATTGAGGTGACATCTGCCATGAACTTTTGTCAATTTGTCAATGTTTTGTATTGATGATCACTTTGTTGTTGCAACTTAATAAATAAATAAACATATTTAATAACGACTACTTACAAGATTTCCTTCTTTCCATTGAAGAATAATCATGGTCTACGTCCAGAATATCTTCCGGTTCTTGCTTGGGTTTCGCAATTGGAGGTGGCGGAGGGTCTCTTTCTTGACCTAGTGATGAAAACGCAGTTTATGAATTAGTTTTTTTGCACGCCAATGCATACATAACAAACATACATACGTCGCAAACACTTAGAACAGACAAAAATCACGACAATTGAGTGAGATATGTACGACGTGCTGCATTAGTGTTCATCCTATGAGTAGGTTTTTTTTTATTGCATATATGCTCCCAATCCACCTGCCTGGAGTTAAGTGGTTACTGGAGCCATATATTTTTTTCAGCCAATAGCAGAGCCTCATAACGTTTCATATATGAGGTTTCCGTTTCTAGGAGGCGCATGGGGATGTGAGTCTAGTGATCCGCAGACGTTGGAAGCGGATTATTGATCCATGGATATTTTTAAGGTCCTAACTACCAAACGAATCCTCTTTGTACTCTCTGACTCGACGTCCGACCTCCGCTGAAGTTAGAACCCAGGCTGTGCTGGGAGGTACCCACGGTCAATACTACAGCCAAAAAGACCCGATCAGTTGCAAGGTCGAGTTTTACATTCGTGTTGTCCGTGATTCCAGTACACCTTTTACAACAGTGGGGAACACTCGTGAATACAATTAGGAAATGTTAGAAATTTGCACTTACGTTTCTGGACTTAAGTGTTTGGCTACTTACTAACTTTACATAATATAACATGGTAAAGCCAACGCGCTGACTGTCGATCCTGAAATACTGAAAGCATAGTATTGCCCGTCTTGAGTATATGTGTAGAATGGTACCTCACCTATAACCTTCCTTTCAAGACCAGGGGGCGGCTCTGTATCATCCTGATCCACGGAGACATGCATGAGGTCAGTGAGGAGAGCACTCTGGCTGAGGCTAGACATACGTCTATGTCCTCTAGCGGGCTTGTGTTCCCGAGATGGAGTTGTTTTGGTCGACACCGTGTCTTGAGGCATAGCAGCTTTCTTTTGAAGTTCTGGCGTCTGAAAATATGTGATTTGTTATCGTCATACTGACTATGAACATAAAGGCGATGTTCAGGTTGCTTGATTTCTTACTGTCTTATTTAAGATTATTTAACTTTCGTTGAATTATTCGTCGTAACAAAATTATTTAATTCCTTTTTTTTATTGCTTAGATGGGTGGACGCTCACAGCCCACCTGGTGTTAAGTAGTCACTGGAGCCCGAAACCTATTACCGCTTCATGGCAGAAATAGGCAGGGTGGTGGTATCTACCCGCGTGGACTCAAAAGAGGTCCTACCATCAGTAATTACGCAAATTATAATTTTGAGGGTTTGATTTTTATTATTTTATTAGACGATGTTATTCCTTCACCGTGGAAGTCGATCGTGAATATTTGTCGAGTACGTTTTTCATTAGAAAAATTGGTACCCGTCTGGGTTTCGAACACCGGTACATCGCTCAACACGAATGCATCGGACGTCTTATCCTTTAGACCATGACGACTTATTCTACAAATCTACTCGCGTGCTATAATTGTGATTAGTATATGGGAGTTGAACCCACTAAATACGTATCTGACCAGTGCTATCTAGGCATGAATCTGTCCATTCATACCTAATGAATATCCCGATTTTACCTTATTGATCTTCGGTGTGGCTGCCTTGGTATACATCGGCTCCTGGATTTTCGCTGGCACAGACATCGCTGGCGGGGTGTCGCTGCTTTTCAGAGCCGGTACGGTTTTAGCTTCAGATTTAACTGGCTCCGGAGTTTTAGATGTTTTTAATGCCGGACCTAATGGTTCCTGGGAAGGGAAATACTATTGCTTTGTCAACGACAGTGCACAGCTTGTAACCTAATTAGCTTTAGAGCAGAGACAAGAGCATCACCGAAACTATCTTGGTCATTTGTTCCAACTAATTGTTGTTTCGTTGTGGGCTGCCTACGTGGTGTTGTTACTGTGTGCTTATTATGTTTTGTATTGGGGTTCACAATTTAATTGGATTTTTTTTTTTTTTTTCTTATATTTTTATAATTTACTAGTTTTACTAATTTATACCATATTCTAAGTATGTACACACGTAATTAGCCTTCATTCCCGCAAAGAACCAAAGGGAAACGGGGGTGACTGAAAAGCAGCGCTGTTCGATTTATCAACCTTGAACAGCAATAGCTGAGCCACCTCCTTTTGCCTTTTTCTCTTTTTTTTCTTTTATTTGTATTTCATTTTATTTTCTGTGATGTGAAAGGCAATAAATGATTTTTATTATTATTATCATTATTTCGTTGTGTCCACAATCTATTAACACCATAAAATTCCGTCAAAGGATTTATCAACAGTATTATTTTCGTATTATTATGGGATTCAATTGATCTATCACTGCATATAATTAGTTGGTGATCCTTCAATTGCACCTTATGCGGAGTGCAAATATTACGGAAAGATACGGAAAAGTGTAAGTGAAAATTAAAGTGAAAAGCTCTTAGCTCAACTACTTTTAAGCGGCTGTACTGTTTTTGGTATTTTCTTTGGGTGGTTAATCGTTTATTTAGATTAATAAGTAGATCCGCTGTGTGGCGATGCAATTGCGTTATATGCGACTAAATTGAAGGGTTTTTTTTAAGAATTTTGAAGGTAAAAGTTAAATCTGTATATATAAAAATGAATTGCAGTTCGTTAGTCTCGCTAAAACTCGAGAACGGCTGGACCGATTTGGCTAGTTTTGGTCTTGAATCATTTGTGGAAGTCCAGAGAAGTGTTAAAAGGTAGATACTTAAATATGAAAATGCTCGGAATTTAATAAAAATAACAATTTTGTTTTTCCTTTGATGTCCCCCCCGTCGGACGAATTCCTTTTGTGTGTTTTAAGTTTATTTTATACAAAAGCTTAGATATTTTATTTATAGATTGAGGCACTATGAAGTCTGCCGGGTCAGCTAGTTATAATATAAAAATTAAGTAATAAGACTCTGAAAGCAAGAATCTGGGGAACATTGGGCCTCATTAGAGTCCAGTGTATGACAAATAATACACTTGGTCTACTCACTTGTTATGTCGTTCTTAGAGATAGTAAAAACTGAAGTTCACTTTATTATTTATTGGTGCAGTTGTTAGTAATATTTCAGGAGCTAGGAGTGACATTTGCTTTCGTGTTCATCCGTGCCAGCAAGAACTTACCCGAACTTCAGAAGACCAACCATACGGCAATTTCGCGAGCTGATCTTTCTCCGGGACAGCTTTGGATGTAGGCGGAGGACTGGTGTAATCCAGATGATTCTTGAAAGACACATTTTTCGTCTGCTCCTTCTTTGGCTCTTTGGGTGTTAGGTCTTTGATTGGCTCAGGAGGAGCTGAAGGCCTTGGTCTGAGGAGGAGATAATAGTTTTTTTTTTTAAATTTAGTATCCATTTCCACTGTGAACAGAATTTATTATATTGTTTAGTATTTGTCACTTTTCAAATCGAAGAGTATGGCTACAAAAAATTTGTGGTTCATGAAAATTTGACGAATTTTCTCTTTTGTAATAACCACAATAAGTTCCGTTTGCCTGTAATCTATACTAATATTATAAGGAGGAAAAATTTGTTTCTTTGTATTGAATAGGCTCTGAAACTACTGAACCGATTTGAAAAATTCTTTCACTGTTTGGAAGCTACACTATCCCCGAGTGACATAGGCTATAAAATTAGGGATCCTTACTAGAACTATAACAATGTAACCCGAGGTGTAAAAAAATTACCTAAATTTTTTGCTAAAAACCGAGCGAAGCCGAAGCGGGCCGCTAGTTCTACAATAATTGTATATATATATATTTTATGATTGAAGTATTACTTCGGCAAAAAACAATACGCGCAAAAATAATGTTCACAAAGCTATCTGTTATCTATGGGTGAAACTATGGATGGGCCTTGGGCTTTGCATCAAAATTTTTTATATTTTAAATAAACTCCAATAGACGTCATCTAAGCTTGAATCTAAAAAAAATGTGGGTAAGGCCGCTTTTGCGCTGATGGCCTCGAATAACAAACCACATTCTGTTGATCTGATTGAAGATTTTGATAAGGTGCTTACTTCTCGATAGATTGTTGTGGCTGCAGATTGATGTATTCAGTTTCCGCGCCAGCTGAGGCGCTCAGACTGCACACAGACGTGATGTCGCTTGTTTCTGTAAAATACACGCCACGAATTGATAATCACGCCTTTCTCTTCTTTTATTTGAATCCAGTAAAAATAGAAAACGGTGAAGTTCCGTTGTCCACACTAATATAAACTAGTGGTCCCGCAGTAGTCGAAATTCGACTATAATTAATTGAAATTATAAGTTTGAACATTATTAAAGTTCTATTTTCAAAGACTATTAAGCTTCTATAATCACAGATTTCGCCAAGACTACACTATAGGCAAATAATATTAAAGATAAACAATATTAATTTAACCAATTCTCAATTTGACAGAAGCAATAACAAAAGTTTGATAATAAACGATAATAAAGATTTTTTATTTATTGATTTAATGTATTATTAATGCATAATTTAAACAAAATTATTAGCATTCTGCAATCCTTTTCTATATTCTCGTAAGTGTGGGAAATTTCATACTCCTCCGTCCGCGCAATTATCGTAAAAAGGGGTACAAAGTTTTTGCATCACGTATTAATATATAGATATGGATTTGACGCGAAAGACTGTCTAGAGTTAAGTGTTGAGCACATCTACCCAGCTCTACAAGCTATAAGTTAAGCTAATCATGACTAAAAGTCACAGCGATATATGGGTCCTATATTTACCAGGGTGGCTAATATTCTCCTTCGGTATGGGCAGCTTTATGCGCTGAGTTGCTGGCGACCGAGAGTCCCCGCGCGTAGATGATTCCGAAGTGACGTCACTGCCAAGCTTACTGAGTAGCATCTACAATAGCATTTCTAGAATTAGGGCTACTAGGGACTAAGTATAATTAGATCTAATACTACAGTACAGAGATAATTAAACCACACTGCAGATTTTTGGGGATTCACCAAAAATATCAAGACTTTATTTTATTTTATTGCTTAGATGGTTGAACGTGCTTACAACCCACCTGATGCTAAGTGACGTAAATGCACTATCCATTTTGCGATATAAGTTCAAAGGTCTTAGTATAGTTACAACGGCTGCCCCACCCTTCAAACCGAAACGCATTACTGCTTCACGGCAAAAATAGGCAGAGTGGTGGTACATGTGGCGGATAGCCATCATACAATGCAAGATATTTGAAAAATGCCTGAATCTCGCTTACGACATTTTCAAGATAAGCTTGCATATATACAAGTTCCGAACAACAACATACAGACCGTCGGTCTACCGAGTAGATATCACCCGCTCGGTGGAAGATCTTCCTTTCGTCGTATACCTACAGTACCTAAAAATGAAGCCCGCAAAATTATAATTTGCGTAATTACTGGTGGTAGGACCTCTTGTGAGTCCGCGCGGGTGGGTACCACCACCTTACATATTTATACAATGAAGCAGTAATGCGTTTCGGTTTGAAGGGTGGGGCAGCCGTTGTAACTATACTTGAGACCTTAGAACTTATATCTCAAGGTGGATGGCGCATTTACTTTGTTAATGTCTATGGGCTCCAGTAACCACTTAACATCAGGTCGGCTGTGAGATCGTCCAACCATATAAGCAATAAAAAATAAAAAATAAAACATCTACAACGTAAATGCGCCACCCACCTTAGGATATAAGTTCTAAGGTCTTAGTATAGTTACAATGGCTGCCCCATCTTTGCTTCACGGCAGAAATAGGCAGGGTCGTGGTACCTACCCGTGCGGACTCACAAGAGGTCCTGCTACCAGTAAACTAGGGGGTAGATCAAACCTGAAGCTCATTCTCCTTGGCCTGCAACGTCCGCCTGTAGCGGTTGTTGTACTGTCTCAGCTCCTTGAGGCGCCTCTCCAGCTCGGGTCCGGGCGAGCGGCACTCGTGCCCTGAGGCAGGTCGCAGTGTGGCACGGATGCGTCCCGCCCCCGCCCCGCCTTGACCGTTACGGCGAAGCTCCAACAACTGGAATTATATTGACTAACAGCTAGGGCTTAAGCTCAGGATACAACTCCTCCAACATCTTTGATCGTTTCAGTCTTGGGAAAATCTTGATACCAATTTTTTTTGAAACATCTCATCTATTATAAGTACCAGAGAGGCCGGACCCGGAATNGTGGCACGGATGCGTCCCGCCCCCGCCCCGCCTTGACCGTTACGGCGAAGCTCCAACAACTGGAATTATATTGACTAACAGCTAGGGCTTAAGCTCAGGATACAACTCCTCCAACATCTTTGATCGTTTCAGTCTTGGGAAAATCTTGATACCAATTTTTTTTGAAACATCTCATCTATTATAAGTACCAGAGAGGCCGGACCCGGAATGTCCTTGCTGGTAGATCATTTAAGCTGTTAGCTCCTCGCGTATTCTAGAAGAGCATTGCGGTCGAAGGGTCCGAAAATATTAGACCACGAAACTCCTAATTTTTATCAAGAACTATAGCTTATACGTAAATGTTTGTAAATATCAATCTGGCACTTAGGTGCATCTAGAGAAAGTAAATCTCAATCTGGCACTTAGGTGCATCTAGAGAAAGTAAATCTCAATCTGTCACTTAGATACATCTAGAGAATGTAAATCTCAATCTGGCACTTAGGTACATCTAGAGAAAGTAAATCTCAATCTGTCACTTAGATACATCTAGAGAATGTAAATCTCAATCTGGCACTTAGGTGCATCTAGAGAAAGTAAATCTCAATCTGTCACTTAGGTACATCTAGAGAAAGTAAATCTCAATCGGGCACTTAGGTACATCTAGAGAATGTAAATCTCAGTCTGTCACTTAGGTTCATCTAGAGAAAGTAAATCTCAATCTGTCACTTAGGTACATCTAGATAAAAATAGCAATTGCATTAACTTGAAATTTAGGTGGGAGGTGTCTTAAGTTAAACAGTATAGAACAAGGGGGAATAATACAAAAGATGCCAAGAGTCGACAATTATTTGCCCGACCTCAAAAAAGTAAGATAATGCATACTGAAAGCAAGGTTCTAACCTTCGGTACGAACACCAAACAGAGAGTTCCCGTCGTACAAAAAATGATGAAGATGCCAATTAATACAAACAAGGCATCTTTGTGGTCAGCTAGCACCTGAAAAGAGCATCACAATATCATTTAGAGGAATTCAATTATTTTTAACAAGATAAATCTGTCCACGCTTTGTTCTTAATAGACATGTTATTTGCGTTTTAAGCCTCAGCCTTTTAGCTGCTGCCCCATCCTTCAAACCGAAACGCATCACTGCTTCACGGCAGAAATAGGCAGGGCGGTGGTCCTACCCACGCGGACTCTCAAGAGGTCCTACCTACTACCAGTAATTACGCAAATTATAATTTTGCGGGTTTGATTTTTATTACACGATGTTATTCCTTCACCGTGGAAGTCGATCGTGAACATTTGTTGAGTACGTATTTCATTAGAAAAATTGGTACCCGCCTGCGGGATTCGAACACCGGTGCATCGCTCAACACGAATGCACCGGACGTCTTATCCTTTAGGGCATGACGACTTCAAACTCGAAAAACCATACAATCGAATAGCGAATTATAGTTTTTTCGGACTTGATTTTTATAACAGGATGCTATTCCTTCTACCTGTCTACCTGTCTACAGAATTCGAACACCGTTTCAGTAGCATCGCTCGATACGAATGTACCGTGTTCACTGGCAACATACCATCGATAGCGAGAACAGTGGATTGATAGTACTAAACTCGCTCTGTGGGCTTAGTGTGAGTTTTTTAACGTTCTCGATAGCGTAAAAGTTAACTCAAATTTCTATGGAGTTAGAACGTTTGCGTACGTTTGCCGCTAGGGGCGCTGTTCCAACTGCATACAAATGTTAACTTTAACGCTATCGAGAACGTTAAAAAACTCACACTAAGCACACTGCAGTGCCAAATGCTTTACATATTCTTGATAATTAATTTCTATTAAATAGCCTACAGACAAACGCAGATGTGTTTCATAAATGGTTTCTGTTTCCTGTGTCCTAAGACTATACAATTATGATTGTGTCTTAGTCCTTAATGCGTATTTAATACGAAATTAGAATTCTTTCTCATAACAATTTTATCTTCGTTAGAATTCTTCGTTCAACAAAGCATGGCATTAAAAAAATAGATGAAAGAAGCAATGTACTTTAATTTAAAAAAGTCTAATCGTACCAAAGTAATAGCTGCGCCCATAATACACATGATGAGTACGTTGTAAACAGATAAGCCGATGTGCTGGGAGTCGTTCAGAGCTGGTATAGAGACATGACGGGTCTCCCACGCCAGGAACGCTCCGAATACCTGAAATTGTTTTAATGCACTTGAATAACCGTACAGTACCCGGCAATAAATATTGCACATCGACTGCGGGAAAGAGACGGTTAATTTTTGCTTGGTACAGCGTTATATCTGTCGCACATTACCTAATTGACATTTAATTTTAGTCTCCATAGATACCGGATCTTTAGTGTTTCGTCGCATACAGGTAACGATATACAACAAAAACAAAATTAGACGACTATCTCTTTCTAAATATCGATGTGCAATATTTATTGCCTGGTACTGTATGTATCGAGGCCACACTGCCCTACAATCTTGCTTAAATCTCCTGATTGGTTAGGCAATAAAAATAATATTTCAATCTCATGTTTCCTCCAAGTGGACCAAAGTTTTTTTTATTTATTGCTTAGATGTGTGAACGAGCTCACAGCCCACCTGGTGTTAAGTGGTTACTAGAGTCCATAGACATCTACATGGTAAATGTATACACCCACCTTGAGATATAAGTTCTTAGGTCTTAGTATAGTTACAGCCACCCCTACCCTTCAAATACATAATAAGCTTAATAGTCCCTTTTTTATCAGTGATAAATTAAATTTTGGTCCAAATGCGAAAGATCATGTTTTGTGATTGTACTCGTTTAAACAAATCTAATGATCACAAACTCCAAGTTTAGCCATGCAAGATTTAAATGACCCGCCCTCTAGGTCGATCATCAGACTAGTCCGCCGATATTATGGTATTCTCATCAGAAATACACACAGAGTTGTCAAGTTTTATGAGTTGTTTGGGGGGTAAACATGTCATTCAAATATCTTATTAAATATTATTATATTAAGACTGACTAGAAAATTTCTTCGTAACATAAGATTAAATATAATTCTACTGTGTCTGTGTATGTCACTGAACTCTTCTTAAGTGGCTGGACCGATTTGAGTGGTTTTTTTGTATACATTTGGTTGGTTCCTTGGATGGTTTAGATTCACAAATCAGCCCGGCAGATGGCGCTGCAGTCCTATCTAGGTTATTTAGCTACACTGCAACTAAACGGCTGGATCGATCTGAATGAATTTTTTTGTATGCATTCACATAAAAACGTCTGTCGGGTCCGCTAGTTCTTTATCTATATATATATAAATGAATTGCTGTTCGTTAGTCTCGCTAAAACTCGAGAACGGCTGAACCGATTTGGCTACTTTTGGGTCTTGAATTATTGGTAAAATTCCAGAGAAGGTTTAAAAGGTAGATAAATATGAAAATGCTCGAAATTAAATAAAAATAACAATTTTGTTTTTCCTTTGATGTGTCCCCCGTCGGACGGACTCCTTTTGTTTGTTTTAAGTTTATTTTAAACAAAATTTTAGGTCTTTTATTCATCGATTGAGGCACTACAAAGTCTGCCGGGCAGCTATATATTATAAAATTATTTATACGTAAAACGAAATTGATAACATACCAACAGCAAGCCCTTGTAAGCGTAAATGACTCCAATGAAGATCGGCATCCGTTCTGATTGACAGTATTCGTTCTCTTGAACTATCACGATGTCCTCGCTCGAAGGGTGAGGCTGGATATAAAATTAGATGTAACGCGAAATTGAACTTTTAATTTCAAAGCGTTTTGCCTAAAATATAAACCTACTATCGATTTACATATATCGGGTCAGGTTTTATCCGTACCTAAAGAATGAACCTAAAGAGGCTGGGCAAATGATTAACTGCAACTCTATCCTTTTTTGGCCACACGTCGAACCTCCTACGACTCTAACTTTATAGGTTCCTTTATTTTTCATAATTTAACTATCTTTCCCTGTAGGGATTGTAATAGCTGGCGCCTTTCCACAGAAAAGCCCCTGGTTGCAGAATTAATATGCGGCCTAAACTATTTCTTTTTTTTATTGCTTAGATGGGTGGACGATCTCAAGCCCACCTGGCGTTAAGTGGTTACTGGAGCCCACAGACATCTACAACGTAAATGCGCCACCCACCTTGAGATATAACTTCTAAGGTCTCAGTATAGTTACAACGGCTGCCCCAGGCCTTCAAACCGAAACGCATTACTGCTTCACGGCAGAAATAGGCAGGGCGGTGGTACCTACTCGTGCGGAATCACAAGATGTCCTACCACCAGTAAACTACCTTGATGGTAAATGAAAAGATGGTAAAAATGGGTTTTATGAAGTACTTAATGATGGATAATTAAGGATGACTTACGTAAGGATCCATCTGTTTCGTGGCTCTGTAAAAAGGATCAGATATCTGCCAAGTCGTCATTATTGCCAGGTCGATGCAGAGAAGCACTCCCACGACCATGAAGAGCTGATAATCTTTAATGACCTGCAACGTAAATCATATTTGCGAGTCTATATCTACATGTTTTTTTATTTATTTATTTTTATTGCCTTTCTAGGCAGACGAGCATACGGCCCACCTGATGGTGAGTGGTTACCGTCGCCCATGGACTTCAGCAATGCCAAGGGCAGAGCCAAGCCGCTGCCTACCGCTAAGTCAAATCTTTTGGAAAGTTGATGATAACTTTAGTCAAAATTCCGATTGTCTAGATAAAATTATGCTAAAAGCTAATGATCTCTCTTCTTTTTGCTCTGTACACCGCTAAGAAGATTGTTCACGGCCATGTCTATTTTGTAAATTGATTTGATTCAAATAGTTTACAAATGGCTAGTTCAATAATTCTTGGGTAAATTATCTACTCGAAATTTGGGAGTCTGAATAGCAAATAATTGTGTACATGAAATGTTTTCTTCAAATCGTTTGGTCACAAAATTGGATTGCATAGATTCTGCGACGCACTGCTCTTGCTTGGGCTGTGTTAGAAAAATTCTCTCAAGTTGAGCCCGTGAGCTCAGCTTTTCATCCGCGCGTAGCTGGAATAGTATCCTAATTTCTCGGTGAATAGATAGAAAAAAAAACGATCGCAAAACTAATGTGTCTACCACACGTCAGTTTTGCGATCGTTTTGTTTTAAAATGACCTCGAATTACGTGACGAAATTAAAGCCACATTTAAAAAAACTCTGTCTTGAAAAAAACTCTAAGTTTTCAAGCATCGAAAAAGAATTATTTAAGAATAAGTTAATGTGTGTAATAATGAAAACGGCAATGAAATTAATAAACCGCATCCGGGATAATATTATCAATGTACTTAAATATTTTCGCTTGCCTTCTTATTTAGCTTGACGTCAGTGAAGATGGAGTGGACCCGCCAAGTCTTTGAGAACATGGCTCCGAAAGCGAGACTAAAACCGGCCATTAGTAGCCAAGCCCTGGCGGTGCAAATGTAGGGAAAGGCAGCTGTGAAGAAAAAATACACCTATTATATCTATGTATATAAAAATGAATTACTGTTCGTTGGTCTCGCTAAAACTCGAGAACGGCTGAACCGATTTGGCTAATTTTGGTCTTGAATTATTCGTGGAAGTCCAGAGAAGGTTTAAAAGGTAGGTTTAAAATATGAAAATGCTCGGAATTAAATAAAAATAACAATTTTGTTTTTCCTTTGACGTGTCCCCCGTCGGACGGATGCCTTTTGTTTGTTTTAAGTTTATTTTATACAAAAGTTTAGGTCTTTTATTTATCGATTAAGGCACTACGAAGTCTGCCGGGTCTGCTAGTATCCATTATAATCATTTTACAGGACATAGATAGAAACATAAAATTCCCCAGCGACTCCATTCTAGGAACTTCCCGGTGCTATGGGCACTGGTGGTGGTACATACCAGACAGTAACGGGTTCATGAGTACCAAATATCTTTCAAGAAATACTACGATTGATTAAGAATAGTACTCAACGTGTCTATTAACAGGGTCGTAGACTAACACCCTGATCTTATCTAGTGATAGATTGTGGTACTCGACACACGTCAAAAAAAATTACGAGGGGAATCCCCGAACATAGACAAAGAGAAAAAAGGGCAGAAGTCGAAAAGGAAAACAGCTTCCTAGCGTCATTTCCGCGTGTACAATCTGCAGTCATTTCAACGGTTGATTTCGGTCGATGTGGAAGTTCCTTTTTAGATTAATTATATTATTATGCAACTCTGTTATTTGTGCATAACTAACGTCTTTCTAAGACTGATTTTAACTATATTGAATATAAACAACGAACATTACTTGTATAACGGTATCTAATTACTTTGGTATTTATTTATTTTAGCAGACACAGGGAAAACAAAAAATCTACGTACAATTTTACAATTAATATTTAATTACGTGTATAATACATAATATATTAGTATGGATAAATATACATTGACAGTTTTGGGGTATGTAATAGTTTTTTGATCGAGGCATATTTCGACATATTTTTTTTATTGCTTAGATGTGTGAACGAGCTCACAGCCCACCTGGTGTTAAGTGGTTACTGGAGCCCATAGACATCTACAACGTAAATGCGCCACCCACCTTGAGGCATAAGTTCTAAGGTCTCAGTATAGTTACAACGGCTGCTCCAACCTTCATACCGAAACGAATTACTGCTTCACGGCAGAAATAGACGGGGTGGTGGTACCTANTTTTTTTTATTGCTTAGATGTGTGAACGAGCTCACAGCCCACCTGGTGTTAAGTGGTTACTGGAGCCCATAGACATCTACAACGTAAATGCGCCACCCACCTTGAGGCATAAGTTCTAAGGTCTCAGTATAGTTACAACGGCTGCTCCAACCTTCATACCGAAACGAATTACTGCTTCACGGCAGAAATAGACGGGGTGGTGGTACCTACCCGTGCGGACTCACAAGAGGTCCTACCACCAGACATTTACACAGAGTGTCATCGAAAAATAATGTTTTAACGTTGGCATTCCATGGTTCTTAGTGCTATGTACCAATTTCATTCATTATATCCATGAGCTGTAATTACCCACTATTAGGTTCATAGCAGGCTGGTCTGTCTTCCTTGGTATCAAAGAAGAAATCTTCAGTTGTCTGAAGTACAACCTCTTATACATAACGAGAAGCGTGTTCACGAATGCCCTCGACCAGCAATTTGTGTGATGTCATTGTTAGTGTCAGAAATTCAACATTTCCTAATAGGATTACAGTTACTCTTATTAATGGAAGGTTCGTGGACATGCACTGCAGTTTTTATTACAACTATTTTGAATGTGTATTTTACAGTTGAAGTTTTTAAAATTTCAATTAATAATTTTATTTTTAATACTATTAAAACTAAAAACTGTTAGGGCACACATCGACCTTTATACAATTTAAATACGAGATTGCAAAATAATGGGAAGCATAAAATTAATCGATAAGAATTGTGTTCAGATCAAACGGGATTTCTTAGATACGATATTATGAATGTTGAATACGGAAAACTATAATGACACTCTTGTTAACAGAGCACTTATGATAAGAGTAGCATTTAAAACAAAACTTGGAGACATTCCTTATCGGTTCTGTGACCGGTGTTGGTCTATCTGTGTCCGAGAATTGATTACGCCCGTAGACTTGAATATAGGACTGCCACTGATGTCACAAAAACCCTCTATACATACTCCAAGCTTACCTTAAAAGCTTGGTCAATACAAATAATTTTAATAGTTTAGGTGTCAACATTTTCTTTATCGATTATATTATTAGATATATTCCGAAGTATTTGCCCAAAGTCTCCCGTTCAATAGGAACACAATAGCGTGAATTGAATAGCATTTGCACACACCCGATCTTGATCAAAAAGCGGAACACAAAACAAGAATTGAAAGCTGTAGGATATAACGTGGGAGACGTACCAAACCGCTTAGGTAAAAAGCTTCGCACATGATGGTAATGGAAGTAATCAAACCAAAACTTGGAAACATGCTGTCGACGACTCCGACCTAGAAAACTGCCTAGGTCTTTCTCAGAATAAAATTTTCGGCCTAATAAACTGGCAAAATGTTGCAAACGCATGAACTAGGGAAACACTTCCACTGCGGACCAATCCTAATCTGCTAATAAATAGTCCTTTTGAATCAAGAAGACACCGCCAGACGCTATTTCATTCTTTGGTATGATAGAATTGTAGCAAGGAATACGAACCATACTCATAACCCAAGTCCGGTCCTAAACGGAACAAAATTTTAACAGTTTAAAAGTTTAAATCGCTGTGTCGAAGAACGAATGCAGGTAACCAAGTTGCAAATGTATAATGCCACACCATTAGATGAAATTCGGAGATTATTTTGGTCGCAGTGAACGTGTTAATCTACAGGCTTAGAAAACGGGGACTTAATCACGAAACATTCAAGGGTTACTAATCTAATTGCCAGTTTACTCGACGCAAGATGCAATGGGGATGGATTGTTTAAAAGTTCCCAAATTTGGTTGAGAAGATCCACATTGGCCAGGGTGGAAGCCAAGCTTAGGGGATGGATCAAGCGTTACCTCCGCGCGGCGTGTCCTGAGAAAGACCTAAGGATCAATGGTAATGATGAGATCAAATGACGAACGGCATGACTGTGCTTTGGCAACATGCGTAATATATGTATGTGCTGACGTCATAACTTTTTTATTTATCAGGTATTGTTTTTATCCAGTCCCACTGTTTAAATTGTTGATAGCATCAATTAGCTTTTATGTTACGAAGATTTAAATGTTTATAATTTAGACTTTCGTGATTTTAAATGAAAATGATTCTTACGACCATTCGTTGCCTACAGGCTTCCAAACGTGAGCACTCGTGAACAGATACGTTCCATATATAATATGACTTTGAAAAATATGTACCAACACAGTGTTGGTTTGAAGTAATCCATGTATGAAATTGTGTTGATTTAAATGGAAAATCTTGGTCCGATGAATAGAGATTACAAGAACGTGATGATCATACTTAAATCATATCAAATCTACGTCAGCAGAAAGTGTAACAGCAAAATCACTCATCAAAACAATGAAACTCAAATGAAGTTTACCTCAAATCCAAATAAGTAGAGAAAATACAAAAATATATTATTAAAGTATTGTAATTGAAATTTCGGGCTTGGTTGGTCTTGGTCTTACCGATGCTGCTGAGGCTGGAGTCCAAGCCGAGGAAGATCACGCTCAGGTAGGTGAGCATACAGCCCACGATGATGAGATTGTTCAAATGCGGTGAAGACATCTTTATGTACCTGGAAAAAATATTTAGAGTTTGTTTCATAAATGATTATAAAATCTAAAAAATGTATGTTTTTATACACCCAACAGTTGTATAAAACTGACGTATAAAAATGACAATGTGTTTTTTTCTGGACCGGGACCAGAATCTCCTAGGAAGGCCACGCGCCTAGTGGGCGCGCTATAGAATGTGGGAATGGATGATTCGCAGATGTTGAAAGCGGACTACGTGATCAAGGATAGTACTTATGGTCAAGATACAATGGTACAAGGTCGATGCTTACACCTCGTCGCCCGAAGGAAGCCAACGCCAAGTGTCGGGCCGCCGTACCGAGGAAATCGTCATTTTTGGTCGTTAATGATCGCCTCGACGACTCGTCGGTCCGGCGTCCTCGGGGTGGTGCTGCTAGTCTTTTTATAGTCTTCACCGCGGGACCCCCTACCATTCTCTGGTTCTACCCCGGGCGGAGATCGAACGTTGGGTGAAAGAGTACAAGGGTGTCGTTTGGAGGACAGTGTCCTAAAATATCCTTAGTCTGCGGTCTGCTCCCAACATCTGCGAACTGTCATGTCCCACGTATCGCTCGTGTTCCCTAGGCGCGGACATCTCGAATGAGATTCGCGCTCCAGCCCGAAACAAAAAAGATAACCATGTGTGAGTTATCCCCGGTTATTACTATTATTTAGTAAAGTTTGTATGGGTGCGTAATCCCATGAGGCAAACTATTGTAGCCAGAGCGAAATTCGCACTATGCTTTTAAAAATTGCGCTCGTGTGGACTAATTTAACAGAATTGTGCGCGTAGACAGAATTACCTCTGATTCCTGTAATGTATGTTCATAGCGAGGAAGCCGGTGGCTAGGAGTATACCCAGCACGGAGCAGGAGACCAAGATAGAATAAATAGTGATGTTCACTTGTGTGTGCTCTATGAGCCGTAGCGTTCGATCTTTCGGAGGATTCCTGAAATATAAATATATTTACTTGTTATAGGACTTATTGTCAGGTATCACTATCTTAGCCATTACTGCCGGGCAGCAGTTATATGTTCCAGTTTTGAATGTAACATAACTTTACTTAACTTAACTTTCATATAACACTAATGAGACTTCATGCTTATCAATCATGCCATGCTCATGACATTCGTCAGAAGGGTAACGTCCGTGAGCACGTTACTCTAAAGTACAAAAATCTGATAAACGACCATAGGACCCCTATACCCTATTTACTTACTAAGTTACTATTGATTTCTGACAAATAATACTAACTTGCCCAGCCATTTGAATGACTCCCAGCTAGTCAGGTCCAGATGATCTCTCTCAGCACAATACTCCCCGACCTTCACTTCCCCTACTTCATCTCCTTGGAACTGCTTCAACAGGATAGAGGCTTTGCGTTCGTTGTCGTAGAACCGGACTGGACCCTGGAAGAGAAATGGGCAACTTATTGGTCCATCAGTAGGTCTTTTTACTGTAACGATATCCAACGGTTTCCAACGAAGTCGATATGGTTGTAGTGAAAATACTCTACCAATAAACTTTTCTTAAATATTTGATAAGTTGAGTTGATTGAATACAAATGTACTAGTTCATTTACTTATACGTAAATTGAAGATTTGATATATGAATCGTCTATTATCAAAGGTGGCAATCTGTGCATTTGGACAAAAAAATGTTATTGATATGTCAATACAGATTGATTTGAATATAATCGTCTCCTTCAAAGAATACGGTTCAAAACCTGCATTAAATAAAGGTTAATACTTAACCTGTTATTTATCTAAGATGTCGTTCAGAAGAGTTTTGTGACTGCCTATGGAATACAAAGTCAATAATTCGTTTTTCTGATTTACCAATAATTGTCCAAAAGTCACATTGCCGGCTTTGATAATAGTCGACTCATATAACGTCGTCAACTAAGTTGGATATTTTTACTTGTAGGTTAGTTACGTTTATAAAAATGATCAAGGGCATCCTCCGCGTTAGTAATAGGTTAGTAGTTTAATTGTTTAATTTTATATTGTGAATAAAATTATATCCTTACATTATAAGTTAGATTAGTTTAGATTAGTAAGGAACGTTGTTGTACAAATTCAGCACTATGTCTTGCTTTGTCGTGCGCACATAACTTATGTTGCAAGCGAGATTTTGTTTCTTTTTACTTGTGTTTTTTATGTATCTTTTTAGCTTGTAATGTGTATTGTGAGCCTAATTAATAAATAAATTAAATTAAATTAAATAATTAAGACACTACAAGGCTGACGAGGCAGTGGCCTACCTTGTGAGATAAGATCGATGTTTCAATTCAATTGGTACATCGGCTATCAATTATAATTGGGATGCAAACTTCGATCAATAGTAGTAGTATTATTGATCGAAGGATGCAAATCAACAGAGAACTCACTTTCAAACACGTGAAGCGGTTTCTAATCTAATGTAATCTGTATTTTATTATCATTTTAAATGGTACTGCGAGAATATAGTCTTTGAGACCTTCTTGTCAGTAGAACTCGCTCTCCCGTAGCATACAATTATCTTAAACCTTTAAAAGAGCAATTCTTGTATTTAAATATATAAATAATCTCTGAATCTCGGAAACGGTTCCAACGATTTTCATAAAATTTAGTATACAGGGGATTTCGGGGGCGACAAATCGATCTAGCTACGATTTATTTTCAGAAAATGTTGTTTTATTCGTGTTTTCAATAATAAACTCTTCCCGAAATCTATTGGCGAATAATAATACTATTTTTCTTAATTGAGGGCAACTAACCGCTTTAAAGGCACAACGAGATGGTCATCATCTAGTACAGTTAAATATAGATGACTGACGACAACACGACTGATTCAAGTTATAGGAAGCCATAGACAAACCAATGTTAGACAATTACATTTGAACGCTCAAAATTCAACTGTGTACTGTAATGCGGTATACTCAGAATGATCATCAGACCAGTCCAAAATATTTCATAGCTTTCAAAAACCTTTATTATGATTTCTGTATAATTGTCTGAATTGTCGTTTTTTTTTTAAAAAATAACTTTGCTAAACTCAAATAATGATTGATCGGTCTCATGCTGTGGGTAGGTACGTCGCTGCGCAGGTGTCGCCTTGCCAATTGAGTAACTACTGTTATAAGGCATTACATTTTAGTATTTTATGGTTGGGATTGTCTAGAGCGTGGACTGTAATTTGTACTGGTCGCTTCAATAATTAGATATATTCAGAGGGAAGGTTATTTTTATTTCATTTTAAATGTAGTTACAACACGTGCACGTAAGATCATAATTTTTGATTGACTTACGTTGACTGTGTTGCCACAATTATTATTGTTTCAAATTTCAAAAAATAGTCATACAAACTTCATGCCTAGGATTGCCCTAAACATGGATAAATGTTTATTATTATTATTATTTGAAACAATTCATTTAAAACTATGACACTTACGGTGACTCCTTCGAATGTCACATTACTAAGCGCATCCAGGAACAACTGCTCCCACTCCTTGTCTCTGTAGCGGAAGTCCTGCACTGTCTTCTCCTTATTCCTCAGCTTTACTCGTTGTGCCACCGTCTGTATCGCTAGTGCCATCGCCCATATACCTAACAAGATATTACTTCAATTAATCGTGTATCTTTAATTACCAGTCGAGGCTCTGGTCTGCCATGCTCTGTGTCTTCCAATCAGGTTGTATCAGTATTCTCCAGTTCATCTTTACTTTAAGTCTTTCTACAGACATCAGATTACAAAGAGCTCAAGTAATTCGTGAGCAGTAGAACCCAACAAGAATAATGTCTATAGGGTAGTTATCTACCAAAATATTCGCGAAATTTATATGAGCTTTAGGTCTGACATAAAGTATACTCAAAGTTTGAAGAATTGAGTTTTTACCTACATCGTCATCAATTCAGGGAAGATATACCAAGATATTTAGGAAATGATTAAAAGTATAATAATTCACGAACCATCGTAGGTGTAGCCGTGAAATCTCGAGTATTCCATTCCTCGTCTCCTGTCATACTCCACTTGATAGTCTTTCGCCGTCTGATTCAAAACAACGAAAGCTTTAGTATCATTGGAAGAGACCAGGCTACGTTGCGTCTTATCATTTTTGAAGGATTAGACGGACGGTGCGTTCGTATCGAGCGATGCGACTGATAGAATAACATCGTGTAATAAAAATCAAACACGCAAAATTATAATTTGCGTAATCACTGGACGTCTTGTGAGTCCGCACAGGTAGGTACCACCCTACCTATTTCTGCCGTGAAGCAGCAATGTATTTCGGTTTGCAGGGTGGGGCAGCCGTTGTAACTATACTTGAGACCTTAGAACTTATATCTCAAGGTGGGTGGTGCATTTACGTCGTAGATGTCTATGGGCTCCAGTAACCACTTAAGACCAGGTGGGCAGTGAGCTCGTCCGCTCACCTAGGCAATAAAATAATAATAAAGAAATTGACACCACCACAGAATTGGTGTCACACACCGTATTGTATTCTAGATCACTAAAGATTGGACAAATGCGATCATCAAATTCACTGATAATTAATAGCGCCTCGGTCAGCAGACAGACTCGACGGTGCAGTAGTTAGCGCCCCCTGACTTTTGCACCGAGGATCGTCGGTTCGATTCCCACATTGGGCAAACATTCGTGTGATGAGCAAACAGCTTTTCGTTTGTGTGTTTATTGGTCAGTCAGTTTCTGGTACACATAGCACAGGGAATCCTAATTTGGGGCCGGATGATCGTGCGTGATTTTTCCCATATATTTATTACTAGTTTTTGCCCGCGACTCCGTCCGCGTGGCATAACGCTAAATTTTACCACCCACTTCATTTAGGTAGAAAGTTAAAATATTTTTCAAAAAAAATTAAATTTATTAATTAAAAACCCCTATTTTGAAACATTATTTATTGGTGCTCCACTTGTATTGGCCTTACCGTGATGTTATATAGCCTATAGCCTTCCTCAATAAATGAGCTATCTAACACTGAAAGAATTTTTCCAATCGGACCAATAGTTTCTGAGATTAGCGCGTTGAAACAAACAAACTCTTCAGCTTTGTAATATTGTTAGTAAAGATTAATATCTTATAGAAATAAGAAAAGAAAATACTTACAATGCCAGAAACGGTGGTCTCCTGGGTGGTAGACAGTGGCAGCAGATCCGTTAGAATGGCCGTGTCAAGGGCGGCAGTCAAGTTCCGGCGGGAACAAGGCGCCCGTCGCGTCCACCAGCTGTTACTGTAGGTCCCCAGCAGGAGCCAGGAGTAAGCTCGACCAAACATCTCGAGTCTGGGGGATGAACAACAGGATCTTACTGCGATTTTAGTTTTTTTTTCCTACTTATGCTGATAGCCTTGAGAGGCTATTTCAGCTTCGCCCTAGCGTGTGTAGGTGAGCTCACGGGGCTCAAACCGGAGTGTTGCTAACACTGACCCTAGCAAGAGCAGTGCTTCGCAGAATCTACCACCGGATCGGAAACGCGACCCACTGAGAAGATCCTGCGAGAAACTTAGTGGGCTATATCTATGGGTTAATTCGCTCGTCGAGCCCTTCGTCGCAAGGGACGGGTTCGACGGGGACGGTGACCGGACGCAATTTTAGTGATGTTCCCAGTATTACTCCTTCACGGCTCAAAGCTTTTCAAAGCCGAGGTAGCAAGGTCAGAAGTAGAATTAACTGTTTAAGCTTTAAGGTACATACTTGTAGGCTTCACAGAATATCTTCAGGGCCCAGGTTTCATTGAAGTTTCCAAGAATGACTCTGACGTCTTTCTCTTTAAGCTTGGCCAACGCGGTTTTCACTTCAGTGGCGAAGCTCTGAGTTTCTTCAATCAGGAATCCGTGGGTGTCCAAATCAGCCAGTAGTCGATTGTGAGCCTGGTGGTGATAATACTTTAGTGGTAGTTGAATTTATCGGCGCAGGTATGCTTGACACATCCATCAGCCATTTTGTAGTGAGCAGAGATTTTGTTCGTTCTTCCCGTAGCATCACTTGGTAGTTCATATGGATAAAAATAAATATTAAAATAAAAATAGACTTCCATGACACTTAAAAGAATGCTCTCTCTCATGATAAACTATTACTGGCGGTAGGACCTCTTGTGAGTCCCCACGGGCAGGTACCACCACACCGCCTATTTCTGCTGTGAAGCAGTAATGCGTTTCGGTTTGAAGGGTGGGGCAGCCGTTGTAACTGTACTGAGACCTTAGAACTTATATCTCAAAGTGGGTGGCGCATTTACGTTGTAGATATATGTGGGCTCCAGTAACCATTTATCACCAGGTGGGCTGTGAGATCGTGCACCCACCTAAGCAATTAAAAAAAAACAGAATCACTTAGATTCTGTTCTGTCAGAATCACTTAGATTCTGTTTTTTTTGGTGCTTTTCTTGTACTCACCAAAGCATATCTTGGTTCGTTCTGATAAATAGTCCCAACCCTGGTCCAGTTGAAGTGTTGCAGTAATCTGATCCGGGGCAAATTGAATGCGTTCTCTGAAGGCACGATGCGGAAGAAATTTGGAAAAGCCTCTCTTGTGAACATCGGGTGGGTGTCGGCGTACGAAAGCTGAAAGATATGTTTACCTCATCATATCTACGCGAGGTGAGCTCTTTCGTTTTCAGCGAGATGACATTTCCTTTTTAAACAGAGCTTTGAAAATGTAATGTATCTGAAGGCAGTAGCGTCGCGATAATTAAAAGCATGGTAAAATTTAATCATTTTAATGTTTAATTAGACAATAAAGCGAATTAATGAGTATTACGGAATGGATTAGATATTTTTTGGATTGCGTCGTAGTAGGGATGACATCATAACCCAATACATGCATTGTTTTTTGCCATTTGCCAACTACACCAAACTAAATTTGAAGGATCCATAATATTCTTTGTAATTTCAACTAGGTGAGCCCGACTTCATATTGCTGTTTATTCAGTAATAATAATACTTTTCTATTTTAATCGGTTTTTGTTCATTACTTCATATGTTTTAATTAATTTGCGAATAATCTTATTACTTTTTCTATACTAAGTTACTCCTTATAACATTAGTTATCGGACGCTGAAAATCCTGTCAAAATAGGTCCAATCGATTCAGTTATCAGTCTTAACACACAGACAAAAAACATTTTGTTTATTTTAAATACCGTGTCTTCTTCCATCTACGTTAGCATAAAATGCTGTTATTTTATCATTACAAAGAGACGTTTAAATTTGTTTTGTGTTTTTTTTTTGTTTGTTTGTTTAAATATTGGAAGTGTGCGTTCCGATATGAAGCTCCTGTGTATGTAAATTTTGCATTCTGCGGCAATTTCGATGCAACTTACAAATGAGGCCGTCAGCGCAAAAGTGGCCTAAGCTTACCATAGTATGGAGATGATGAGTTTCGAATTTACCTTTACAATAGTTCGTAAGCAAAAAAATACCCGCTAAAATAATGCTTACAAAGTAATATGTTGTCTATGTATTGAAACTAGGGATAAGTCAATTTTGCATCAAAATTTATTATGTTTTAAATAAATTTCAATACATAAGCATGAATATAAATTGTGGGTTAGGCCACTTTTGCACTAACGGCCTCAAATCGAGAGAGGGATAAAGCAAGCCGGATGTTCCTTCTTCCGAATTCTTACCTGTGTAAGATGCCAGTGCTTAGAAGCCTTCGCTATGGGATCAGTGACGTGCGTGCAAGCGGCTCCAAACAGCATCAGCTTGTGAGGACCGCTGTGCATCATGTCGAAAAACGACTTCACACCTACTGCCGCGTTACACTGACGAAAAAAAAAAATTTTTTTTTCCTACCTTTGCTGATAGCCTTGAAAGGCTATTTCAGCTTCGCCCTAGCGTGTGTAGGTGAGCTCACAGGGCTCAAACCGAAGTTTTGCTAGCACTGGCCCTAGCAAGAGCAGTGCTTCGCTGAATCTACCACCGGATGGCCGCGGAAACGCGACCCACTGAGAAAATCCGGCGAGAAACTCAGTGGGCTGTGTCTGTGGGTTAATTCGCTCGTCAAGCCCTTCGTCGCAAGCGGCGGGTTCGACGAGAACAGTGACCGGTGCTTGTGGTACCTAAAAGCACCGTTAATGGATCAGGAGGATCCGTAATGACGTGTAATATATTATAATGACCACCACCACTAAACGCATCTCTACTGACATGGATACTTGGTTAATTGATTGACTTAATTTCAGAAATCTACTTCTTATCGCCGCGGGCATTTCAAGTGTTTAATAATTAAACATCTGTCGCAAGTTAAATACTCTGGACGCTCTGGTTACGTTGTGTATTACCTCCGTGTCATTCCACCACATGTGAAGCCTGTAGTTCCTCAGCACCGAGTCATGTTCGTTGACATGATCCAGGGCTAGCTTCACACTCGGCATCACACCGCGCCCTGTGTGGCACCAGCATTAATATACACGAAATTAAACAACCTATCTGTTAATTAAAAGAGGAATAATAATATATGGGCGTGCCGGCCCTATGTTTTTTTATTTTTTTTTTATTTTGTTTATTGCTTAGTTGGTTAGACAACATACCTGGTGTTAAGTGGTTACCGGTGTCCATAAACATCTACAACGTAAATACCGCCACCTACCTTGAGATGTGAGCTCTAAAGTCTTTTTATTTTATTTTTATTTTATTGCTTAGATGGGTGGACGAGTTCACAGCCCACCCGGTGTTAAGTGGTTACTAGAGCCCATAGACATCTACAACGTAAATGCGCCACCCACCTTGAGATATAAGTTCTAAGATCTCAAGTATCAACGGCTGCCCCATCCTTCAAACCGAAACGCATTACTGCTTCACGGCAGAAATTGCCAGGGTGGTGGCACCTACCCGTGCGGACACACAAAACGCCATACCATAGACTTGAAATCGGTAACATCATAAATCATTTTCCAAACAAGCATTTAGCTTACCAGTATTGGAATTCTCTACTCCTTTACCAAATGGAAAGAAACCAGCTATGTAGACGTCGGTTCTTCGGTTAAGTATCGCGTCCAGGTTCGGCTTCTGAGGTACACCTCGACATACCGCCACCACAGCCAGCAATATGAGAAGCATCTTCATCTCAGGTAAATCACTGTAGAAAATACAAGTGTTTCAATTCATAAATAGTTAACGAGCGAGGACAAAATACGGTTACGGAACCTCAACCTTGAGACATGAGGTCGATATCTCAAATTTACTGTATGACTAGCGCTTACTCGCGGCTTCTTTAAAGTTAGTAACGGGAATAGTATAAGGGGGTGGGGTGTCAATGGTACGAGGGAAGGTATGGTACGTTTAGTTCGAAGGTACTACTCTCTATGTCACTTTCGCATCTCTAATTACGCCGTTATCTAATTGATGACGGCTCCAGCCTCTAACCCGGTACACATGATGGCGTGTCTCTAAGTAGTTCTTTTTCAAGTGGAAATAATAAAAACATATTTGTCTAAGTCCAGTCGCGAATCTTCTACTCATAGGCAATCAAGTTCAAGCTAACAAAGCTGCGTTTCAAACACTTTTGCCAATGACAATAACAAAACAACAACAATATGTTTTTTTTTTTATTGCTTAGATGGGTGGACGAGCTCACAGCCCACCTGGTGTTAAGTGGTTACTGGAGCCCATAGACATCCACAACGTAGACGCGCCACCCACCAAACTAGCGCCACCCACCCACAAACTTGTCTAGAACGATATAGTTTAGTGAAAAAAAAATATATTTTCAAAATAAAACACGAAATTATGAGATAGTGATGGGACATATGCTTAATACAGTACTTTTTAATAATAAAAAGTGAATTTAAGTGCTTTTCAACAATATAACTTATTGCTGACTTAACAAAAATGTACATTTCATTTATCTAGCCATTAAGAAGATATTTATTTATTCTAGAACGTGGCCTAGACGATGTTATTTCGACAATTGTAATCTGCTTCATACTACTTGAAGTTAATTACTAAAATTGTCCTCTAACATCAGGCAGGTAATAAAGACTCCACCGTGATCATGACGTTATTCAGAAAACTGATGTTTTTGATGGGTTTTTTAGGTTCCCGGAATCTAAACGCGTCTTCCGACACTTCTGCTATTAGTTTCACGCGATTACGAATCGTTGTCTTGTTTTTGATTGCCCCTGCAAGTAGATGAATACGGTCTACCCATTAGACCCATCAGATGGTTAGTGGCTGGCGTCGCTCATGGATATCGACAAGGACGCAGCCAAGTCGCTGCCTACCACTCAGTACTTCCTCACCGCTACCACTCAGTATTTCCTGCAAGCCTCGTTTGAAGAAAGACATGTCGTAACGCCCATGAAACATTGAGGTGGCAAGTTCATTCCAGAGCCTGATTGTACGATACATGACCGTACACTGATAGTCCGTGGAAGCTCTATGGAAACGCACTAGAATTGATGTCTATAAGGTCTACAAAATTTTACACTTATTAAAATAGTACCTATATTTTCGGTCAAATTGCAAGAATCCATTTTATTTTAAATTTATTAAATTTCTAACTTTTTAATAAGGTGATATATAAATAATACTAAACACTAATAAAGTATTAAAAAATATATATATCAAGTACCTTTAAGCTAAAGACAGCCAAAGTCACTTTAGCACAAACAAAATAAATCACAAAAGCATATCTGACGGATCATTGAATTGTTTGAGAAGCCACATTTCAAGATAAACACATATCACGCAATTTTAAATGTTTTCTTCATTTATTTTATGTTCAAATAATATCGCATTTTATTAAGTAAATACTCAAAAATGGTCTTTATCGTCTAAAGAACGAACCACATGATTAAAAGTGTAGTTTCAGTGGACGTATTCGTGAAACTCCGAACCGGGCATATATTGTGAAGGATCTAATATTGTGATTTAATACTATCTGCAATAGAGTTTGTTTTACCGAAATATTTCAAACGTGTGTTGTGACGTTTAGACAGGGTTTGTTTCAGCAAACACACAGAATTAGCCTTTCGTGCTTGCAAATCGATACGGGGTGTTCTGGGACTTGGTGATGTGATAATATCGATAAAAACAAAGTGTGTCAATCTTACAAAAAAATTACAAATATGATTTTAAACATGTAAGAATGGTTTTAGAAATTTTGAAAAGCGGGCAGGTTACGATAATAACCTTTTGTGTTGTTAGTTTGTGTAAGTTTACGTGTAAAAGCAGACGAGCATCGAAGCCACCGGATAGTAAATGGCTATCGCTGCCCTTAGGCAGCGGCAATACGGGGGATACAGCTGCGGCCTACCATTTAGAGTAGGAATTCCGATGATTCGAACGGCTCATATCAGATGCGATTTTTTTAAATGCTACCTAATTTTAAAATAAGTGAAAAACAAAATAACTTTCATGTTTACTCTAACTGATTACCAGTGTCAAGTCAAAATCCAAATTCAAATTCAAAATCATTTATTTCAACTTAGATGTCAATATAACACACTTGATGAATGTCAAAAAAATAACTTCAATGATTTCTCAGACTCGATATCTAGTTATTGCGCATCACTATTCACGCAAGCGCACTACAAGGGGTGTGTCCTAGGTTCGACCTGCTAAGTGTCCCTTGTCAGTCATATCACTATGGTTTTAAACTAAAAAGCTTTGATACCAAAGAAATATTTACATTAGTCTTAAGCCATAACAATATGTAAAATGAAAAATCATAAATTGAAAATAGAAATTCAGAAATGTAGGTACTTTAAAAGTACCTTAACTTGATACGGAAATGAATATTTCATAAATTAGCTCTCTATTCCAACGTGTTAATGTTTATTTCCGTACAGCACAGTTTGACATTTTGGTTTGAAGATTGCCACTACAATATCCAAATTTTAAACTTTTGCTATTTTTAAATAAAAATCTTTAAAACATTTAATTCCATCAATGTCTATTTCAATTGTATTTCTTAAAATAATCAAAAATAAGAACTGTATCATCAATTACTTCGTAAGTAGCTTTATGGGAATAAAATTTAGACTTAAAGTAAAGAATTCATTTCGTTCCACGCAGCACCGTGCTCGTAAGAAAAGTTCCACATAAGCGTTTTTAGTGTGACAACACTGCTAATACGTGGCCCCGACGTTTTAAGTGATTTGTGTGTCTTGTTTACGTTTTTTATTGTGTAATTTCGTTTTTATATCTCTCAGAAGCCGTAAGTATACCGGGATTAAATACTATTTTCATAACACGTAATATTCATTTGCATAAAACACAGTGAAAACTTCACACAAACGAAAACACAAGACAACTGTCAAAATTACACCAACAAGATTTTTATTATTTCTTCAAATATTTAGATGTTTTTGTGTGAAATTACTAATAAAACATGCAAAGACTTGAAAATGAAAACAAAAATGTATCTACATTCATAGTAAATCTATAACTACATAGAAAAAACAACAAAACTTGAGACAAAATCAAGTTGTAATTATAGGGCAAAATCTGAATAACTCTGCCTTTATTGATAGAATTTATTGTTTTAGAGTATTATCGTCATATATTTACAACGTAAAATAACATGTAACAAAAATATGACGTTAAAAGTTATTGCATACCTACTTAAATAATTTTTTATTGTCATAAGGCAAAAACCTTTTTCTGTTTTTAAAAATACAAAGAGGTTATCTTCTGTGTCACCTAAATGAAAATTGGTTCTAAAAACTGTTTTTATAGATAAAAACATTAACAACAAAAACTTAAATTTACTAAGAAAATCATCCTTCCATCATACTTATAACAATGTAATTTTTCCTTATCCCTCACATAGCTTTGGCTTTATTTGTTCTTCTCTCCCTCTCTTCTCGTATCCCTGGAAGGCACCACCTCTAATCATTAATCGTTTTGTGTTTAAAATATTGTATATTTATGCTTATCTTAAGAGGGAAAATACACTATGTAGAAAAAATAGACTGTAAGAGAAAAGAGCATGCTGCATTACTGGCAATTTTGGCAGGATTGGCACATAGTATATATCTAAGTATAGATTGTATATTTAATATATTAGATATATATTCATTATATTGTTGATGTATGTATTTATTATAATCATTAAATTTATGAAGAATTTATGTTTATTAATGAATTTAGTTTATGTATGTAAAACTATTATCTGGTCATTTAATAAGAATAGTTAGTATATTATATAACACAATAGTAAAGTATCTGTATTCCTTTAATAATTTAATAATTCCACCTACTATGTTCTTTTCTGTATCACCCTTGGCTGACTCGTAGAGCATGCTAAAGGCATTAAGTCCACTAATGTAATGTAACATATAAGAAATTTAATAAATAAATTACAACAGCATATTCTATTTTCAGGTGATACGGCTTACCATAAGATGATGAATCCACAATATCCACCTCCGGGGCAAAATAATAATGCTCCCAACAACCCGATATATCCACCTAGCTCCCAAGAGTACAATGGAGTACAGAATGCTAACATCTATAGTCAGATGCCGGCTGGGCCACAAAAGCAATTTGATCAGGACATGGCACAGAAAATGCAGAACATGAACATAAATGGCTCACAAGGATTCAATATCCCTCCTACACAGCTACCTCCTGGTCAAGCACCACCAAATTTTGGACCAGGGCAAGGTCAACGGCCAGCTCCAATGCCGATTAGACCACCTGCGGGAGGACAATTCCCTCCAATGACAGGACAGAGACCTCCTTCTGCAACAGGACAGGCACTAACAGCCCAAGAAGGATTTGAAACTCAGCGACCTCCAAGTCAGCCCATGCCACCTATGAGTCAACCACTGGGTATATCTGGTCAAATGCCACCTCATTCTAAGGGTGGTTTTCCATATCAACCTATACCGGTGCGGCCAGGAATGCCACCAAATCAACCTACAGCTGGAATGGTTGCTCAACCTGGAGCAGCCCCTCAGCCAGGTCCGGGAATGCAGGGCCCTCCACAATCTCAGTCAAGTTCTATACCAACAGGAATACCTCAGTCAAGAGCTGGCCCTATTCCTGGGCAACCAGGCCTCAATCCACAGTCATTAGGCCCTCAATCAGGGCCTGGACAGGGAGCCCCACCTCACCCGGGCCAAATGCCACGGCAAGGATTATCTCAGCCTGGTCAATCCAGCTTAGGACCCCAACATGGTCTCCCTCCGACGAGTCAAGGCCTACCTTTGCAACCAGGTATGTCTCCCCAACCTCCACAACTTGGACCGGGTCTACAGCAGCAAACAGGACAGAGACAACCTCCACATCTTGGTCAACAAGGCACACCTACAAGTCAACCTAGCTTCCCACAACAACCTGGTCAAATACCTTCTCATCCAGGGCAAGCTGGATTCCTATCTCAACCTGGCCCGCCTGGTCTGCCAGCCCAACCAGTCCAGGCTGGACAACCTCAACCTGGCCCACCTGGGTTACCAACACAAGGGCTTCCATCGCAACCCAGCCACCCTGGACTCCCTCCACAACCATCACAAGGGCTTTTACCTCAGCCCGGCCTTCCTCCGCAACCTGGTTTTCCTCAACAACCTGGTTTTGGGCCCCAAGGTCCATACCAGCAGATGCCCGGTATGCCACACATGCCACCACCCTTGGCCCAGCAAAGACAGTTTCCCAATGCTCCTGCTCAGCCTGGATATGGAGCGCCACCTGGGCCACCAACTAGTGCAGCCTTTCCTGGTAAGCATCTACTTTTAAAATCACTTCCTAGCGGCAGGATAAAGTGCGACATCGACAAGTTTGTACAATTTTACTGGTGGTGGGACCTCTTATGATTTCGCACAGGTAGGTACCACCACCCTGCCTATTTCTGCCGTGAAACTACTGCGATAACTACTGTATAATACGATTAAGACTTCTGCTTTATATCTGAACATAAACAGCAGAATTCAGTTGGCTATGGCTATGAATCAAGCCAACATATGCAGATCGTCAAGTTCCACATATCCCGCGCGTCCCCTAGGCGCGGGGACCTCGTAGGAGGTTTGGTCCCCGGCCCGAAAAAAAGTATAAATCAGGGCTTGTGGACTCTTATACTGTAAAAAAAACTCATATGCTTAGATCCTCTATAGACAGCTATTGTGACATGTTAATTGTATATATTTTTATTATTATTATTATTATGTATATATATAATTCTATTGTATGTGTGTATGTCACAGAACTCCACCTAAATGGCTAGACCGATTTGAATGAATTTTTGAGCATGCATTCATTCATTCATTCATTTTGTGTATGCAGGACAAGGTCCGTCGGATCTGCTAGTATTGAATAATTTTCTTACCAACAGGCATGCCACCCCTTCCACCACAAGGCCATGGGCAACAATATCAAGGACAACCATCAGGCTACCCGCCACAGTACCAACCTCCATTCCCAGCACAACAGCCAAGCTACCCAGGTCAGCAGTATCAACCACCACAGAAAACCCTAGATCCGGACCAAATGCCCAGTCCGGTAAGAAAATAAATATTTCATTTAACATTTTGAGATGAGTAAAAATTCTCATATTCGGCTATAAGATATCATCTGAAATATGTTAATAATATAATTAATTTAAATTATTCTCTGTCTAATTCAAATCTAATTAAAATGACCATCATAAACTTAAGTTCAGAATTGTTCAGAACATAGGATTAGTTATGGAAGCTATCTAAGCGTGTGTCCAGCGATTAGGCAGCTCATCCTTTATGATGAACAATATAGACCAATTATATTCAATTTATTATAAGATCAATGCACTATATCTTTTTCATCTAATATAAAAGCCCTAAGTTTAATAACACAGTAGAGTTTTGTCAAAAAGTACACAATATTGTACTGTCCCTGTGTCGGCTTAAATTTCTCTTGCACTGAACTTTTTTAGTCAATCTGTCAATCTTCCTCTTTTTGCCGATGCTGTCATTGATTACCCTAACATATCTCAGCATCTTGTAAATAAACTAGGCATGCATATAGATATAGATACATATGTGTATATATGAAGATGTAGATGTAAGTGATAATGCTACATCGTGTTTATGACCCGTATTGTATCAGGAGCCACCGCTACCAGTTTGAGAAATCGATTTCCTTATCTCCTGCATATCATAAAACTATCTTAACTGTATTAACGATAATCTTCAAGGCTTTAAATCTGCTTATACATATTGAAAATTTGTTTTTCTATTGCACAGATCGAGGTGATGTTGGATGACCAACAGAACCGGGGTGGTGTCTTTGTTACGAATGGTAAAGGATTAGTTCCGCCGCTGGTGACCACCGATTTCATCGTTGACGACAAAGGGAATGCCAGTAAGAAGTTTTTTTATCTTGTTTAATTAGCATTTATTTGATTGTAAATAGCCTATTAGATGCAGCTGCTCAATATAATGGTATTTTCAGGGGCAGATATGTTTTTTTTAAAGGTACTTGTATGTACCTAAAGCGGACCAACAAATCATTTTCATGGTGGAGAAAGAATGCACAATGCACCATGCAATGACATCTTCTAATCGAATTATATTCACATATTTGATAATTACATTTGAGTCCGCTAAAAGGTGCCACTATTTGTCTATTGTGGACGCGTAAAATAACGCTTAAGTAGCGTCCTGCATTTCCGTATTCATTGTGTACATTTTATTGCTTAAACGAGTGGATGGACTCACGGTCCGCCTGGTGTAAGTGGTCAACGGAGACCATAGACATCTACAACGTAAATGCCGCCATCTATCATGAGATAGATCTAAGGTCTCATTTTTATAGTACAACGGCTGCCCCAACCTTCAAACCGAAACGCATTACTGCTTCACGGCAGAAATAGGCAGGGTAGTGGTACCTACTCGCGCAGACTCACAAGAGGTCCTACCACCAGTAATTACGCCAATTATAATTTTGCGGGTTTGATTTTTATTACACGATGTTATTCCTTCACCGTGGAAGTAAATCGTGAACATTTATTGAGTAAAAAAATTGCTACCCGCCTGGGATTCTAACACCGGTGCACCGTTTCCATACGAATGCAACGGACGTCTTTATCCTTTAGGCCACGACGACTTCAAAGCTATGCTGATAAGCTTTTCGTGCGTGATGTTATCATCCCAGAAACGATAAGTTCCATCGGCCAACCTTGTTTCCTTGAACGGTTCCAATACACCCCTCTGTCCCCAGGTCCCCGCTACATTCGGAGTTCCATGTACACGGTGCCCGTGACCGCAGACCTGCTGAAGCAAACCGCCATGCCGTTCTGTCTCGTCGTAAGTTTCTTTGAGATAATCCACGTCATTACGGATCCTCCCGATCCATAAACGCTGCTTTTAGGTTCCACAAGCACCGGTCACCGTCCTCACCGAACCCGTCGCTTGCGACGAAGGGCTCGACGAGTAAATTAACCCACAGACACAGCCCACTGAGTTTCTCGCCGGATCTTCTCAGTGCGTCGCGTTTCCGATTCGGTGGTAGATTCTGCGAAGCACTGCTTCTGCTAGGGCCAATGCTGGTAACATTACCGGTTTGAGCCCCGAGAGCTCACCTACACGTTAAGTAGACACTGAAATAGCCTATCAGGGCTATCAGCACAGGTAGAGAAAAAAAAGAGATAGTCTCTCGGACCTCGGAGAGCGTTAGAATGAACTCGCGCATCGCTCGCTCGTCCCCAGGTGTCCCCGATGGCGGAGACGGTGGGGCAGGAGCTGGAGCCGCCGCTGCTGGACTTCGCGGCGCTGACGGGGTCCCCCGGCATGGGCCCGGTGCGCTGCTGCCGCTGCAAGGCCTACATGTGCCCCAACATGAAGTTCGTGGACGCCGGGAGACATTTCAAGTGTGCCTTCTGCAAGGCAACTACTGAGGGTGAGTCTTAAAACCGCCATATCATAATACCATAGATAATGGAATTGTATAGTAAACGACTGTTCCAACCTTCAAACCAGACTGCTTCGCGGCTTCACAGCTAACTCCACCGTGAGCCCGTCCAACCCTGTAGAGCAGTAACACGTTTGCTTCTCGTTGCAGTGCCGATGGAGTACACTCAGTACGTGAACAGCATGCAGCAGTACGGGCGGGTGCCGGCGGAGATGGCGCTGGGGGCCTACGAGATAGTCGCCACCACCGAGTACTGTAGGGTCAGTNAAAAAAAAAAAAAAAAAAAAAAAATATCTATAGAAAAAAACATTTCATTTTTACATACTTATTATAAAATTTAAGGGTATTTTAGTCGTGGGATAATTAAAATCATAAATAAAAAGAAATTAGCATGACTAAGCTACATTGATAATATTGAAGGAGTTGCTATAGGTAAAATATATTTATATTTTAAACAATGCACATTAAATCTTCTTAAAAAAGACATTATATTGCAAAAAACTAGCAAAAAATATTAACATATTTAATTAATGGATTTTAAAACTAATATAAAACATTATATCTAAACAAAAATCTATTTTTATACTTTTAAATCATCATAATGTTTAGTTTGTCCTTCGGGACTTTTTAGCGGGAACGCAAGGAGTGAAGTTGTGTGATTTGTTTTATTTTGTCTATTTAGTGTTTCTTTAGGTTTAAATGGTGGTTTATTGACTGTTTAATATCTGTGAAAGTGCACAAATGTGGGAAAATGAAACAAAGCCGCTGGACGTAACTTCTCGGGATCCTCCAAAAAGTCCATTGAAAAAAATCTCAGTAAATGACCACCATTTTACTAAGATTATATTTCATTCCATATCATCTCATTTAGTTTTACTTCATATTATCATTTTTCATAAAAATAATAATATAACTTAAAGACATGACTTAAAGGTCTTAGTTACCAGGTCATAAAATCGCTTTAAAAAAAAAGTTTATCCTTCGCAGAACAACACGCTGCCGAAGCCGCCGGCCACCGTGTTCGTGCTGGACGTGTCGTACAACGCGGTCAAGAGCGGCCTCGTCGACGCGTTCTGCGAGAACATCCTCGACATCATCCGGGTGAGCGCGCGGGGACGGACTTATTACTGGTCGTAGAACCTCTTGTGAGTCCGCGTGGGTAGGTACCACCGCCCTGCCTATTTCTGCCGTGAAGCAGTAATGCGTTTCGGTTTGAAGGGCAGCCGTTGTAACTATAATTGAGATATTTCAAAGTGAGTGGCGCATTTACGTTGTAGATGGCTATGGGCTGCAGTAACCACTTAACACATAGGTGGGCTGTGAGCTCGTCCACCATCATCATCATTATCCTGCCCTTCTCCCAGTCACCCGGGGTCGGCGCAACATGTTTTCTCCTTCCATACTCCTCTATCATATACCACTTCTTCGCTCACTCCCCTCTTACCCATATCGTCTTTCACGCCATCCATCCATTTCTTCTTAGGCCTACCTCTTCCTCTATATCCTTCCACATTCATAGTTAACACTCTCTTACCAACCTCATTTTCATTTCGTCTCATCACATGTCCATACCATCCCAAACGCGCACTCCTCAGCTTCTCTGTCACAGGTGCCACTTTCAGACTTCCTCTAACATATTAATTCCGTACTCTATCCATTCTCGTTACTCCACACATCCATCGCAACATTCGAAATCTCTGCTGCATGCAGTCGCCTTTCGTCCACCATCTAAGCAATAAAAAATACCGCTGCTGTAACGGAACCGAACCGAAGGCCCTCATACTCCCGTCTGCTCTTCCAGGAGCTGCCCAAGGATGAGCAAGGGAAGAGCTACACCCGCGTCGGCTTCATCACCTACAGCTCGACGGTTCACTTCTACAACATCAAGGTATGACGCGTTTCAGACGAGAATGTCCATGGACCTGCGCCATGTTGTGACGTCATAGCTGTCAAATCGAAAAAAAATTGGTAGAGTCAGTAAAAAAGGAATTTTTAAATATTAATTTATAATTCAGATCTTCGAGTTTGCTGCTTGAGTGATCATAATCATCGTCGCCCAATTAAAGAGCTCGATAGTGTTGCAGCCTTGATTTTTAAATAGGTTTTTTTTTATATAATCTTAAATTTATGTTTAATTTATCTCGACCAGTAGTCTACATATCTAGAAAGTTATATAGGTATGTATGGTTTATTAAGACAAACGTATTAATAATCTTCATAATTAGGCAAAAAATTCACTAAAAAAAATAAAAGATAACTTTTTGTTGCTGATATCCATACTTATCGAACTTTGACAGATCAAGATCATTGACGTGCACATTCTTATTTGAAACGCACTGTAACCCCCACCCGGGGGGCGCGGGGCGTCGTGTACTGTGACGTCACGAGGAGGTCCGGCGTGTGCTTGTTCCAGGGCAGCTTAGGCCAAGCCCAAATGCTGTCGGTGGGCGACGTAGGCGACATGTTCGTGCCCATCCTGGAGGGGTTCCTGGAGAGGGTCGAGGACAGCGGCTCGGTGCTCGCCTCCCTGCTGGAGCAGATACCCGCCATGTTCAGGGAGAACAAGGAGACGGAGACTGTCATGCTGCCGGCCGTGCAGGTCAGTCGGGGTCGCCTATGGGCCGCTCGACACGGAACTTTTGGGATCAGTCAGTTGGTCCACAGCTTTGCTTGTTATTAATAATATAAATAAATTTATATCTATACTAATATATAAATCTATAGTAGTTTTTACGGATGTTCTGTTATAACTATTGGACCATGCATCCGATTGAGCTGAAACTTGGTATCCATGTAGAATATACATGTACTTAACGGATAGGCTAATATTTAAATGAGTGTTGGACTCCACGACACCAGTTACGGGGGCGCTAATGGTGAGAATTCTTGTGAGGGTGAGAAATAATAATGTTAATTTTAAATGCCTAGCGAAGCGGGCGGATACAGCTTGTAAATTATAACGCAGGTAAAATCTTCAACCTTTTAGTAGCTAAGGAAACAGAGTTGATATAAGTTCATATAACTAATACTCAACGCGTCAGTGTCGTGCAGCCGCAGGTTCGATGTTCGTCACTTTGGTTTGCTTATGCTCTACTATAAACATATTATTCATCGCCCAGGCCGGTCTAGAAGCTTTGAAAGCTGCCGACACCGCTGGTCAGTTGTTCGTGTTTCACACCACGCTGCCCACGTACAACGCGCCCGGGAAGCTCGTCAACCGCGAGGACAGGAAGCTTTTGGGAACCGACAAGGAAAAGCAGATATTGGGTGAGAGGGACCACATGCAGCTTGCACTAGGAGACGAGCAAGCTGTTCAAACGTAAAAGCTATGTCAAATACATATGCAAATATTGAAACTCAAATTTGTCTTTGCTATCTCAGTTTGTTTGCTGAATGTGCGCAATGTGTTGTACACGCACTGCACTTATAATGTACGTATGAAATATCTGAACCCATAAACCTAAGCTCTGTTTCATTGCACACGAGACGTCACTTCAGCCACAGGTGAGATCAAGTAATTGTAAGAAGTATAAGAAAATTTTGATTAATTTTCACGTTTCTATTGGCAATAAAATAGAATATCTAATCATATGACCGAGCACACCACAATGGCCACGTTTCACTAACGTTAATTTTCCGTTAGAAAAAAATTTGGTATAATAGGGCCAAAAGGTACCTTAGGATACATTTTCGCGCACAACCCGGCCACTAATCGAGCGGCGCGCGGTCCCAGGTCCGCAGAACACCGCGTACAACGAGCTGGGCGCGGTGTGCTCGGCGGCCGGCGTGGCCGTGCAGCTGTTCGCCTGCAACAACGCCTACATCGACGCCGCCACCGTGGGGCAGCTGCCGCGCCTCACCGGCGGACAGCTCTACAAGTACACCTACTTCACGGTGCGTGCCCCGCCCCCGCCCCGCCCCGTCCCGCCCCGCCCCGCCCCGCGGACCCCGTACTGACGGCGGCGTGCTGTGTGCAGGCGGAGTGCGACGGCGCGCGGCTGCTGCGGGACGTGCGGCGCGCGCTGCGACGTCCGGCCGCGCACGACGCCGTCATGCGACTGCGGACGTCCACCGGCGTGCGCCCCACCGACTTCTACGGGCACTTCTTCATGTCCAACACCACCGACGTGGAGCTCGCCGTCATGGGTGCGTGCCCGCCGCGCAGTGCCGCAGCCTCGCGCCCCCCCACTGACCCGCCCCCCGTCCCGCAGACGCGGACAAGGCGGTCGGCATCGAGGTGAAGCACGACGACAAGCTGACGGCGGAGGAGGGCGTGTACGTGCAGGCGGCGCTGCTGTACACGCACCGCTCGGGCCAGCGCCGGCTGCGCGTGCTCAACCTGGCGCTCAGCGTGGCGCACCAGCTCGCCGACGTCTACCGCAGCATGGAGCTCGACACCTGCATCAACTTCCTGACCAAGCAAGGTAAGTGCGCCGCGCGTTGTTCGAGTCGAAGTTATACTCATTTTAATTAAGACTGATTTGATTAAGCGTAACGAAATATCCGTACAAAACACCCGGCAAACATCTTGAGCAAATGACCTTGACTGCGCAGAACCGAATTTTAGATAACTTTGGTGATGAGGGCGGCTAATGGTAGATCAGCCGGCCCCGGCGCCCCGCCCCGCGCCCTCGTTCCGCTGACTCCCAAAAGTACACTCGCGTACAGTGAAAATTCTATCGTTATTAATCATTAAATTTTTTTGTTATAATTGTTTGTTGATTTTGTTGTTATTGCTATTTGTTGAGTGTTTGTTGATTTTTTATAAAAAAATACACTATGCCACGACAAACTGGTGTAGTATTAAAAAGACAAGCTAGAAAAATGGCGTATGACGTATATTGCTTTATGAAAAAACAGGGAAAGAATGATATGGAAACAGTAAAACAGATTTCGGAAGTAACAAAAACAGTGAGTACTGTTAGGTGCATTATTAACGAAGCTAAGGGCTCCGACTTGCTCGCCGTGTTTCGAATTCCGGGTAAAAAAAGATCAGGGAAGAAGAAAGTTACCGGAATGGATAGTTTCGATCAATCTGTAATAAAAGATGCATTCATAATAACCACATAACAAACAGCTAAACTCCGAACCGTAGAAAGGCTTCGTAAAAAATTTAAATAACATAATATAAATTTTAATGTCTTTTGACCTAAAAATAATAATAGACCTAATAATAGAAATAATAGCTATTTTACTCTATGTTGTTTTTAATACCTTAATAGCATTAGGGACTTTTTGGCTGGAACGCGAGGAGTGAAGTTGTGTGATATGTTTTATTTTGTCTATTTAGTGTTTCTTCAGGTTTAAATGTGCAATAACGGTGGTTTATTAACTGTTTAATATCTGTGAAAGTGCACAAATGTCGGAAAATGAAACAAAGCCGCTGGGCGTGAGTTCTCGGGATCCTCCAAAAAGTTCACTGAAAAAGTCTCAGTAAATGACCACCATTTTACTAAGATTATATTTCATCCCATATCATCTCATCTTATTTCATTTAATTTCATCCCAAGCTGATTAATGTCTCCAATTAATCATCTTTATTTCGTTTCATTTCATTCCATATTTGTTATCGTTTTTCATAAAAATAAGAATATGAATTAAAATAAGACATGACGTAAAGATCTTGGTTACAAGGTCATAAAATCCCTAAAAAAATTAATAGCATTATGACATAGAGTAAATAATATTTTTGCACATGAGTGTACAATGCGCGAACTTTCCCCTACTACGTCCGAGGGTTTCATCTGCGGGTTCACTTACTTAGATATGTATATATATATAATGTATTATTTTATTTACATCAAAATACAGTTTAGCCTAGTAAAACTATAGCACTAATTGAGTTTATTTATTTATTTATTTATTAATAGTTGCTCTATAAAGAGAAACAACATTGAAAGCTATTGCTTCACCACTTTTTTTATATTTTTTATATTTTTTATATTTTTTATATTTCAATATTCCAAAATGCTTTTATATTTCTAATAATAAATAAATAATAATAAATAAATATTTACTAACAATCACGCCACGTTAACTGGTCCCGTGATAAGTTCGTAAAGAACTTGTGTTACAGGTACCAGATAACGGAAATAAATGTAAGATTTTTATTATACACGTACATATATTTAATATACATCCATAACCCTGGAAAATACATTTATATTTGAGTCGTCTATTATCAAAGGTGGCAATCTGTGCATTTGGACAAAAAAATGTTATTGATATGTCAGTACAGATTGATTTGAATATAATCGTCTCCTTCAAAGAATACGGTTCAAAACCTGCATTAAATAAAGGTTAATACTTAACCTGTTATTTATCTAAGATGTCGTTCAGAAGAGTTTTGTGACTGCCAATGGAATACAAAGTCAATAATTCGTTTTTCTGATTTACCAATAATTTCCAAAAGTCACATTGCCGGCTTTGATAATAATCGACTTATTTATCATACAAATATCTTCCCTTGGCGGGATTCGAACCTGCGACCCCCGTGTGTTGTGACCATGTCACTTGCCACTACACTAGACGACCGTCAAATGTTCCTTCTTTTACTGTAAATATTCTTCAATATTCAAAATTCCATTTATGTCATATTTATAACATATTAACCTCTTTTAAGATAAATCGTATAGAGGTTACATATGTATACCACATATAAAGAAGATTGGACTTAAAAGTTGGGTATTTTTTTATTATTAACAGCATGACAGACAGACAAAAATTGTAAAGAAATGTTATTTTGGTGTATGTACCGTATTATATATATTCATATTGTTACGCCGGTAAGAGTAACGCCATCTATCGCCGAATAGTCGAACGAATATCGAAGGATTCAGAATGCTCGAGAATTACAACGCCATCTATTGACATATAGCGGAAATTACGACTAGAGTTGTGTGGAACATTCTCGATTATTCTAGGGATGAGGTATCGACTATAAAGCGTTGTAGGTCAGTCAGTAATCGGAACTACTCGAAGCGAGACAGGCGAATTGAGAGTTTTAAACTGTTTATGAAGTGTTTAAGTGTTTTAAGTGTTGAATACAGTTATTTTCCCGAACCCCAGCGCGTAATATGCATGTAAAAAGCGGTTATTTCAATATAACAAACAGACACTCCATATTTTATTTATATGTATAGATTGTGGAACCTAATTAAATAAGTAGAGAGACAGTAGAGAGTGGGTACTGACAGCGCACTGTGTGCTGCAGCGGTGTGGGCGGTGCGGGAGGCGGGGGGCCGCGCGGCGCGGCAGGCGCTGGGGGCGCGCTGTGCCCGCTCGCTGGCCGCCTACCGCCGCCACTGCGCCTCGCCCTCCGCCGCCGGACAGCTCGTGCTGCCGGAGTCCATGAAGCTGCTGCCGCTCTACACCTGCTGTCTGCTGCGCTCCGACGCACTGGCAGGAGGTACGTACCTCCCGCACCTGTATGTAGCGTAACTTTTGTGAAATGTACGATCCAATGTTAGAATCAGTGACCCACTGCTCTGACTGGGGCCAGTGATGGTAAATTATCTCAGGTTGAGCCCCGCGAACTCACCTATCAAACCGGACATAGTTGGAATAGTCCTAGAGGCCATAACGACCCTCTCCGGCGGCGAGGCTGTCTTCATAGTCACTTGTAAAGTCGGGACGAGTTGGAAGCGTCCGTGAGCATCCAGTGCAGCCTTTCCCAAAGTGGGCGATAACGCCCTCTTGTGGGCGCTGTACGCTTAAAGGGCGGTAAGAGACCCAGAAAAAAAAGATGCGTTGTGTAGAGGCGATTTCGATGGATCCAGTGAACACTACGCTAACTCCAAATTCGTAGGTTTACAGGAGGAGCGTTTAAACGAAATAAGTTGATAAAATCTTTATTATTGCAGATATATTTATGGTTTTTTTTTGTGTAACTAGCTGATTTACTCTTGCTTCGAACTCCATCAATAATAATTTGTAATACTTTTAAAATAGTGAAGCGATTTGCGAGAAAATTCAAAATTTTGAGTTAGAGTAGTGTTCATTGGAGGCATCGATTTGTAATTTAAATTAGGAAGACTCATAGACACCGACTGAGCTCTCGCTAGAGTGGTATTTAAGTAGGTGAAAAAATCGGGGCGCTAAAAAATAATTTATTCTCAAAATGGGCAATAGACAAAATAAGTTTGGGAACCGCTGATCTAGTGGAATAAAATTTTATATTACATTTTCAAAGAAAATAGTATAGATAAGTGGTCTACCTTAAAGTCATCGTTCGTCTTGGTGTGGACGAGTCGAACCTTATTGTGGTCCCTGGGCCCCCGCAGGCCCCGACATAACGTGCGACGACCGCTCGTGCGCGATGTACCGCGCGCTCACCGCCGACGTGGCCACCTCGGTGGTCTACACTTACCCTCGCCTGCTCCCGCTGCACAAGCTGGCTGACTCGCCGGACGCTAAGCTCACCCCGCTGAGGGCTTCCATAGACAAGATGAATGAATTCGGGGTATATTTACTGGGTATGTAATGTTTACTTCTATTAATTACTAAATCAATTCTATTGTGTGCCCAGTCCAACCCCGCCTAATCATATTGATTGCTAGTTAAAATGGTTATCGATTTCATTTTCTAGTGCAGACAATGGTTGCTTAGTTAAGTCAGTTATTGTTTTATTTAATAACCATAAGGATACTTAAAAAAATACTAAGATATTAAGGTATTTTATCATAATATTAAATATTGTGGATTTATAGATACTAGTGGTCCCCGGTAGTCCAAATTCGACTATAATTAATTGAAATTATAAGTTCGTATACACTATTAAGATTCAATTTTCAAAGACTATTATACTTGTATAATCACAAATTTCGCCAAGACTACACTATAGAAAAATATTAATAAAGACAAACAATATTTAATCTATTCTCAATTTGACAGCAGACGTCAAGAACAAAAGTTTGACAATAAATAAATAGTATGCTTGCGTGTGTGCGTCAAATACATGGTAGTCTGTGTAATGTTTTTTTTATTGATTTAAGGTATTTTTTAGGCATCATTTAAAAACAAATTAGCATTCGGCACTCCTTCTCTATATTCTCTATAAGTGTGGGAAATTTCATACTCCTCCGTCCGCGCAATTTTCGTAAAAAGGGATACAAAGTTGTTCCTTCACGTATTAATATATACTCCTTTCGTAATCACATCCGATTGTCGTTGACCTCAAATGACGTCACGTGGATGGAACTTTGAATAATCATATATTGGTCATTCATTCGCCTATAGTACATTAATCTCTTTTATTGCCGTAAAATGGAATTGGGACCCTTTTGAAATCCAACACAAATTTTCAATGGTTTTTCTTAGGGTAATACCTATAAAATTGAGTTTAAAATGGTTCCGGAGACTTCAATTTTTGGATACGATTCGTTATTATACATAATTCATTACAAAATATACCCAAAAACTTAGAAAATTAGCTTGACCCGATTCACCTTGGCTTTTGGGTGAATAAGGTCACGTATGGGGACTATAGGGCTGGCGCTATTTTGTTGTTAGGTAGGTACCTAACTTTAAGTAATTAACTTTTTATTATCTTTAATGAGTTACAAAACTTTAATGACTAAATTAAACTATTTAATATTGTTAAACACTAAATAAAAGTAATTTTCAGTGCAACAAAGTTAAATCTGTAACAACCCAATAAAAGTATTGTGACATCCCAGATTTGTCCGTATTCCTCCCAATCTACTGTAACTGGTTTTTTTTGTTTGTTTTTTTATTGCTACGATGGGTGGACGAGCTCACAGTCCACCTGTTGTTAAGTGGTTACTGGAGCCCATAGACATCTACGACGTAAATGCGCCACCCACCTTGCGATATAAGTTCTAAGGTCTCAAGTATAGTTACAACGGCTGCCCCGTCCATCAAACCGAAACGCATTACTGATTCACGGCAGAAATAGCTAGGGCGGTGGTACCTACCCACGCGGACTCACAAGAGGTCCTACCACCAGTAATTGTTGCCCTGGTTATCGAGGGCTATGTAGTGAGTAATGGTTCCCCGTGATAGAGAACGGCGTGCACATGTTGCTGTGGGTGGGGTCCCAGGCGCCCGCCGAGTTCGTGCGCGACGTGTTCGGCGTGAGCTCCCCTCAACAGATCGAGCCCACGGTCTGCGAGCTGCCCGTCCTCGACACGCCCATCAGCCGCGCCGTGCGCGCCCAGATCGAGCACGCGCGCGACGCACGCCGCCTCTGCATGCGGGTGAGCACGGGGACGCCCCCCAACCCCCCCCCCCCCCCTGGACCTGCACCCTGGACCACAATCATACTATATTGCAGTACAGACGAGCATATTCTCAAGATTAGATGGACCTTTTCTGAATCATTGCAGAGAGGTCCACAGAATTTGCTCGTAGTGCCGTATTTCAATCGTATGTAGTATGTATGTTGTTCTTTTCTTTTATTACTGTGTCCTTACTAATTTATTTTTAAGAAATCACTGTAACTGACATTTATATGGATCATTATCTATTTATTTATTTATTAGGCTCACAATACATATTACAAACTAAAAAGATACATAAAAAACACAAGTAAAAAGAAATAAAATCTGGCTTGCAACATAAGTTACGTGCGCACGACAAAACAAGACATAGTGCTGAATTTGTACAACAACGTTCCTTACGATTATACGACAGAACAACACGACAACGTAAAACTAATCCTTCTTCAAACGAGGACTGTGGAGAGTATTAAACGGTATTAGTATTTAACGGCAGCGCCTTGGCTCTGCCCCTGGCATTGCTGAAGTCCATGGACGACGGTAACCACTCACCATCAGGTGGACCGTATGCTCGTCTGCCTACAAGGGCAATAAAAATAAAAATCTAACTTATAATGTAAGAAAATAATTATATTCACAATATAAAGTTAAACAATTACACCACTAACCTGGAGGATGCCCTTGATCATTTTTATAAACGTAACTAACCTACAAGTAAAAATATCCAACTCAGTCACTGGACCACAATCATACTGTATTGCAGTACAAGCAGGCATGTGGCCAACTTGATTGGTCAAGTGAGTGGACTCCGTTGTCCATGGACATCAGCAATGTCAGTGATACTGTGGGTCTAGTGCTTCGGTTATTGCCACCCATGATCGAACACAGTGGAGGAACGTCACACGTGGTCGCGATCCTCAGCAGTGACGGAACGATATAGAAGAAGCGCTACGAAGCCTCTAGTCCAGTGGTCGGGGAACCTTTTTAATTATTACCCCAAAATATTTTTGTGTAAGTTGATATTACCCCATGGCGAAGAACAAGAAAAAAACGAAATCGCTTCTTTTAAGCATCTTTCATACTATAGCCCCCATGATAATTTTGAAAAGTAAACAATAACTAAAAAATTTATTTAAAAATCATTTGTTCAATTTATCAATGTGTATTACATGTAATACAAAACGCTAATAATAGTAATATTGATGTAATATACAGTTGAGGAAAAAAATTGCCCCCACAGAAAATATAAGTAAATGGTAGTTTTTTGTTTTGAGTTTGAAATCACAACGATTCTAAAGAAGTTTCACTTCAATATATTATACTTTTTACTCACAAAAGTTTCATTTTTACCCCCCAAAATTTCATTTTACCCCATTTGGGGTAATTTACCCCGGTCCCCCGACCGCTGCTCTAGTCTGGCGCCCTCGAAGAGCTGACAGTAGGTAGGGAACAGCGCGATAACATTATCGGTACTAGCGCCAGATTACGATCTTAGGAGATGTCGACGATTTTATTATTGACAAATCAAAAACATTGCAAAAAAACTCCAAATTTATTAAGAAACTTCAAATCCACTAACTAATACTTGTGTGTGTTTAAAATTCTGATTTAATTTGAAATAATACTACAGCAGTCGATATCCAACCGACAGAAAATGTCAAATCGAACCGGTAACCGATCTGTTAGTTATTGACACCCATTCTCCTCCTCCTACCCTCCCCCCTTTTAAAAATGTAAAGCCCACATCCCCTGATGTCTTCTGCATGCGTGTTTGAAACTGTTCTATCTCTTGCTTAGCTGTTAGTGGTACACCAGTACGACAAGAAGGAGGTGGAACTTAGGAAGATGCTGGTCGAAGATCGGGGTGTAAATGGTGCCGAATCCTATACTGAGTATCTGTTGGCCACGCACAAACAAGTCCAGAAAATGATGTAGGTTGTCGCGGCGACGGCCCCGGGGGGCGGAGGCCCGGGCTCCCGGGGGCGGCGGCTGGGCTGGTGCTTGGGGCCTTCCTCCAGTTCTGTTGTGGGGGAATTTGGTTTAGGTCTTAAGGCGGAGCTGCTTGTGGGGAACAACGTGTGCAAGTTTGGTTTTGAAATGCTTTTTGAAGATGGCTTTAAAGTTTTGAGTGTGGCTTTTTGTATTTCATTCTACTGATGCTGGTGACCACATGCCGTCGCGTGTGCTGTTAGCGTGGACGGTATCGTCGCGAACATAAACCCGTGCTTTAGCAGTGGCTTGACCTCTAACCGCTGGTGTTCACTTTGAGATAAATCGCTTCAGTATTACGTTCGGTCTCCGCGGATCGTAAATCATAATTAAAACTACTTTTACGGTTTAATCTTTCGTTATCGTGACAGATAGAATGACAATATAGACTACTGTCCAAAAAAAAAACATTATATTTATTTGAAAAGTAACCATGAAAACTAAAACTAATGGAATCTCTAAACAATCCGCGGCGCCATCGTGTTGTTAAGAAGGAATTTGGAGTCTACCACTGGACTCTGGATCCTGAAATAGATTTGAGGGTTCCCTATCAATATGCATCACGCTCACCTGCATTCTCCGCAGTCCTCTTCCTGCCCATCCAGATTTGATAGGAACCTACTAATGCTTTGGTGCTAAATGCTTTAAACTGGTGGTAGGACCTCTTGTGAGTCCGCACGGGTAGGCACCACCGCCCTGCCTATTTCTGCCGTGAAGCAGTAATGCGTTTCGGTTCGAAGGGTGGGGCAGCCGTTGTAACTATACTGAGACCTTAGAACTTATATCTCAAGGTGGGTGGCACATTTACGTTGTAAATGTCTATAGGCTCCAGTAACCACTTAACATCAGGTGGGCAGTGAGCTCGTCCATCCATCTAAGCAATAAAAAAAATGACCCGTATTACTGATCTCCAGGCTCGTTTCTTCTTAGGATAAATTAGGTTAGGTTTATTCAGATAATTCTAATAAAAAGCTATTTAGCTCACTCGTGAGATTATAAATAGTATTTATGTATTTTTTTTAATACATTCATTCTTTTTTTTCTTTCCTTTAATGAACCTCGTGTTTATTAAGAGAAGAACCAAACCGTAAAAGTACTTTTAATTACAAAGCGCTTTTAATGCGATTAATTTGGTTTGATTTTCGATATTACACTAATTCGTTTTTTTTTTTTATCACGAGCTAAACTTTTGAAGCTTTCATACTAAACACCATCATCTTGAGTTCTCGTATGAATTATTCTGGTGTAGCGGTAGCTATCATAGAACACAAGATATGTGACAGGTGCCTGAATTTACGACATTTTCGAAATAAGCTTGCACGTACTGGGTGTTAGGAGAGCGCTTCCGAAAACGAAGACAGTCGATAGTACTAATGACAACTTTGATGATGGGACGAAAAAAAAATCGGTTGTCTGTAAAGTCGGTTTACTGACGATAGTTGAACGTGACAACGTCATAAGAAAATACTGATGGAATGGTTTAATTTTTTAAAAGAAAAATTTAATTTTATTTATTTGATAGATATTTTGTATGGATATAGAGAAGGAAGTAAATGGAAATCACTATTGAATTGATCAAGTTACATTTATTTGTACGCATAAATACAATTCATCGCTCACTCAAATGTCCTTCTTCAAACGAGGCTTGCGGAGAGTTCTTTATGGTAGGCAGCGGCTTGGCTCTGCCCCTGGCATTGCTGACGTCCATGAGCGACGGTGACCACTTACCATCAGGTGGGCCGTATGCTCGTCTGCCTACAAAGGCAATAAAAAAAAAAAAAAAAAAAAACTCAAGTAGGAGAGGGACAGATGTCGAACGCTGCCGAACGCGAAGGCCGATTGTGCCTCTTTGTCGCTCGTTGCGCGCTCTCTTTTGCACTTCAAGCCTTAAATGGAACGCCTCAGAGCGAGGTAACGCCGCATGAGTCATGTTTTTTTCGTGCGTGCAACCGGCTCCATCGAATTATAAGACGTCAAAATCGATCCTGATTTTTTTAGTAATGTATTTTTTATTAAACTATCGTTTCATTTAGCTGTACTAACACGATGGAGCGTAAATAATGCTAATAAAACGTTTTAACATATTTTTTTTTTAAATCAGGATCGATTTTCTTTCCGTCCCATCATGAGACGAGTCATTAGTAGTATCGTCTGTCTTCGATTTTGGAAGCAGTCTCCTAACACCCAGTATACAAGTTCCGAACATTGGGACCGTCGGTAGACCGAGCAATTTCACCAGCTCGATGCAAGATTTTCTCTTTGTGGTGAAACCTTTCAAACGGGTATTCCTAATAACTTATGACGATACGGATTGAATTTTAAAATTGAAACCGGACTGCCTTGGCCGTGAGCGGCTCGAACCTGATATACGATCCGGGCAGTCTCTAGCGGTGACCGCACACTGCACGCCGCTGTGGCCGCATACTGCATGCCGCCCTTCAGCTAGACAGTCTAGAGAGGAAAGATCGGAGTCTCAACGTATATAAGGGCTGGTTTCTGCCAACCGAAACCCTTGACCGTCTCGCAACAAATATACTCTTCATCTCTATATCATTGCAATCACATACCACCCAGACGTTCTCTGAGTTATCCTCCCTGAGCGCTGCTCACGGCTGCCAATCAAAACTGATTATCCCCATCTCGTTTCAGCTAACGATAATGCGCCAGCACGACAAATTAGAGACGGTGCTACGTCACTTCCTCGTCGAGGACCGAGGCGTCGACGGAAGCGCGTCATACGTTGACTTCCTCTGCCACGTGCACAAGGAGATCAGACAACTTCTATAGCATCCGAACACGTGCAGCCGGAGCAGGAGGGCCCACGGACCGCGGCTCCGGCTATAGGCCCTCACATAGACACACGGCGTAATTCTAAAGAGATAAATTAACTGAGCGTACATCAGACACTCATCTTGACCGGACTCTCGCCAATACATTATTAAACACGTGTGGGTGGCTGCCAGGTATAATCATTTAAAAATACGTATTTTCAATTCACTTTGACGCCCAACTCTGAAATAATGCTAATACAAAATACTTATGAAACGTTTTCATGACTTTTGTATTTAAATTGCTGTCCAGTGACAAGTGATGGCAACACCGTCGAGCGTTCGAATTAATTTTGTAGCTGGCAACACAAATAGCTGTTTTCTATATAAAGACATAAATGTTATGAGTTTTGTTTGGTTAATAATTAATAGGAGACTGTTTGGTATAGTCGTAAAAGTAAATGTTAATCTATATAGTTTTCTTATGAGTACCAAATTGCAGTACGTCGCTGCGTCTCGATTTACAGAGATAAGTGCGTTCCCAGGGACCATTGTACCTACGAATCAGCTTCGAGCCCCGGCAGAATCGTGTCGACACTAATACAGACGCAATACCCTGTAATGTTTTGAGGGTAGTGGAAAAAACTACCCCTTTAAAACTGTTGCGCCTACCGTCAAAACCCGTCAAAAGTGAAGTACAACTGTGACTACCCTCCCGTCTCGTCTCAGTACTCTTAGTCCCTCGTCTCGCGAACCGTTTCCGATTTGACTTGCATGTAATCATAGTTTAAGTTGGCGCGGTGTTGCAATGCTCAAAAAATTATTGCAGCGATTCAAAATCGATTTCAAAATGGCGGCGCAAAAGAATATACTTTTTTAGTGTGATTTGTTAAGACTGTAGAAATCATTTGAAGGATAAATCAGTTTGATGTAATTTTATTTTTGAATATTGCAACACCACACGCTCGTCTCTGTCAAGGGAATGTTGTCAAGTTCGTGTTCCTCTGAACAAGCGGCGTGAGGCGGTCCCGTGACACCGTCCCCGACCTCATGCCTCACGTGGGCGTTGCCGCCGCCTTGTCTCATTGAAAACGTCAACATTTGTTTGGCAGAAACCCCTATTATGTAATTAATTAGTGCCGATATTATAATTCTTAGTATCTAATTGTTATAAAGGAGTCTGGAATTGTAAATAAATATATATGAATTATTTTTAAATGTTGGTTTCATTATTAAAAATCATAACCGTATCCACCGTTAGTCACATGCCTTCGTAGAGTCTTTGGACACATTGCTCGAAAGGAGTGTCACAATCTTGAACAGCTGATGTAGGACAAACGTCTCAGAGGGCGCAGTCCCACGATATGGTCTGACCAAATTCGATCTCTCAACATCAAGTTCAACGATGCCCTTCACCAAGCCAAGGATCGCAGCAGATGGAAGGAATCGTATGTGAGAAAATTATGCAGAGAGAGTATTTTACTGGTGGTAAGAAGTATTGTGAGTCCGCGCTTGTAGGTACCACCACCCTGCCTATTTCTGCCGTGAAGCAGTAATGCGTTTCGGTTTGAAGGTTGGGGCAGCCCTCACACGTCTCATTTTGGATGACGGCATACTCCTAATGAAACCATTTCACACGTAGTGGAATATAATTTTTATTTCATATTGATTAGATGGGTAGACCAGCTCACAGCCCACCTGGTATTAAGTGGTTACTGGAGCCCATAGACATCTACAACGTAAATTCGCCACCCACCTTGAGACATAAGTTCTAAGGTCTCAGTATAGTTACAACGGCTGCTCCACCCTTCAAACCGAAACGCATCACTGCTTCACGGCAGAAATAGGCAGGGTGGTGACACCTACCCGTGCGGACTCACAAGAGGTCCTACACCAGTAAAGATAATAAAAGATATAAGATGAAAGATATAAACATCTTTTACACATCTAAATTAGAGAAAATAAGAAGCTTTTCAATTATCTTAACTTTTTTATTACAAAAACGTTTCTGTTACATCAAACTTTAAAAAAAGTTCCGCTATTTTTTCTGTAAACAAAAACAAAAAAGTTTATTTAACCCAACCATTTCGTCTGTTAGTGCCAACGTCAGAGATCATTTCACTTGTGTTTGTTGATAGATTTTAACGATACATAGGACAACTTCAGTCAATATAAGACAAAATAATGGAAATACGATTTATTACTTTTTTTTATTGCTTAGATGGGTGGACGAGCTCACAGCCCACCTGGTGTTAAGTGGTTACTGAAGCCCATAGACATCTACGACGTAAATGCGCTACCCACCTCGAGATATAAGTTCTAAGGTCTCAAGTATAGCTACGGCTGCCCCACCCTTCAAACCAAAACACATTACTGCTTCACGGCAGAAATAAGTAGTATTGAAGGCCGAGCGGGTAGGTTTTGAAGGTAGGATAAGCCTTATCGAGTAGGATTAAGACTGACTTAATTGCAAGTGATGTGATGTCTGATAACTCGCTAAACACTTCAGACGACAGCAGACTATCAACAATCGACCTGATTACTAGCTTTGGTTGCTTCTGCATGGTCTAACTTTGTTCCAGACCAGATTCCATTCAATATATTGTGGTTTTAGCTTCTGGTACACATATGGCGTTAGGAACAAACAACAAAAAATCAGAAAGTTATTTTTTTTCCCGAGCGCTATGACACGTCCTTCTTCGAGCGAGGCTTGTAGAGAGTGCCTAATGGTAAGGCAGGGACTTGGCTCTGCCCCTGGCATTGCTGAAGTCCATGGGTGACGCTAACCACTCACCATCAGGTGGACCTTATGCTCGTCTACCTAAAAGAGCAACAAAAAAAAGGCTGAGAGTAACACAAGCAGGACAATATTCAAACAAATCTTCGCTAACACTTCTGTTACTATTCAACAGTGATACAAATAATATATTAGTTCAATGTAAAACTAACCGGCTTAGGAGACAGGACCTCAATTATGGGTCCTTTATAGGTACACGGGAGGCAATACTTGGGGCAACGTCTTCTGCTCTTGCACCCATAAACCATCACGATCAATATGATGATGTAAAGTAAAAAGAGCATAGATTTTTCGACCATTTCTTCTGTTTACTGCAATGTGTAATACAAGAATAATTGAATGTAAAATAGTTATCGGGGCATAGATACAACAGACAGTGAATGCAGCCTTTCGCCTTTACACATTAAGCTTTATAGTATTGTATATTAGCTTTCCCACCCTTTACGTTTAGGAAATATGACGTCTGGAACTATAGGAAATGCGGGCATACAATTCGTCCTTCCACCAATATATGCCTGTTGGCAATTACAATACACTAGTGTGAAGTCCACGGGATGCTGTTCCTTTTTTTTCTACCAATGCTGATAGCCTTGAGAGGCTATTTCAGCTTCGCCCCAACATGTAGGTGAGCTCACGGGGCTCAAACCGGAAGTGACTAAATCAGATAAGGCATCATTCACATTTTAATCTGATTTCTATTGTATTCTCAGCTTCTTGCTGATTTCGNGTTGGCAATTACAATACACTAGTGTGAAGTCCACGGGATGCTGTTCCTTTTTTTTCTACCAATGCTGATAGCCTTGAGAGGCTATTTCAGCTTCGCCCCAACATGTAGGTGAGCTCACGGGGCTCAAACCGGAAGTGACTAAATCAGATAAGGCATCATTCACATTTTAATCTGATTTCTATTGTATTCTCAGCTTCTTGCTGATTTCGTGATCAAGCCTACTTCGACAATCATTAGTACAAATATTTTTTATAGCTTAGATTGCGTGGATCTCACGGCCCACCTGGTTTTAATTGGTAACCGCACTCCATAGACATCTACAACGTAAATGCCGCCACCCACCTCGAGACATGAGTTGTAAGGTCTCAGTTTTATAGTACAACGACTACCTTTTACCGACGACTTTTTTACTGGTGGTAGGACCTTTTGTGAGTCCGTGCGGGTAGGTACCACCGCCCTCCCTATTTCTGCCGTGAAGCAGTAATGGGTTTCGGTTTGAAGGGTGGGGCAGCCGTTGTAACTATACTGAGATTTTGGAACTTATATCTCAAAGTAGGTGGCGCATTTACGTTGTAGATGTCTTTGGGCTCCAGTAACCACTTAACACCAGGTGGGAGAGCAATAAAAAAAAACCTCATTCTTCAAAACGAATGGATTCACGGTAGAAACAGGCAGAATGGTGGTGCCTACCCATGCGGACTCATAACTAGGGTTGCCAGATTTTTTCCAGCCTATAAGGGGCAAATGCTTAAATAGGCTAAAAATACGGGAATTTAGTTTTTTACCCGGGGCAACTAAAAAACAAAATTACATAGTGACATTCTTTTTTTATATATTTCTCGAGGAGTAAGTCAGTATTAACATACTTTTAACGATTTTAACATATTTATAAAAATAATTACAATTATAACCATACGGTTCGAGTAGGGGACAGAGTCAGTCTCGCCGGTACATTTTAAACAAAGCCTAAAATACGGGACGTCCTGCAACCCTACCCATAACACGCCCAACCACCAGCAAAAACAGTAGAAGGTACACTCAACATAAGAATATGAGAACCAAATTTAAACTGTACAATACTGTACATATCAAGTAAGACTTACTGTTGTTTTCCGAAGCATCCGAACTCGATCCTTATTGATGAACTGACCGCAGGGCTGACTCTTGTTGTCGCCACATTGCCGTTTCCGTCCGCAGCCTTGCGTCAAGTCAAAAATCGACACGGCTATGTGCAGCAGAAGCAGGACAAACTCATTGATGATCAGCGCCATTGTTGGACTACAAAAGCAAAATAGCTGTCGATGCCAAATGATCTAGATGTTTTTTTTTTCTTAGATGGATGGACGAGCTCCCAGCCCACTTGGTTTTAAGTGGTTAGTGGAACCCATAGACATCTACGACGTAAACGCGCCACCCACCTTGAGATATAAGTTCTAAGGTCTCAGTATAGTTACAACGGCTGCCACACCCTTCAAAGCGAAACGCATTACTGCTTCACGGCAGAAATAGGCGGAGTGGTGGTACCTACCCGCGCGGACTCACAAGAGGTCTTACCACCAGTAATTACGCAAATTAAATTTTTATTACNTGGAACCCATAGACATCTACGACGTAAACGCGCCACCCACCTTGAGATATAAGTTCTAAGGTCTCAGTATAGTTACAACGGCTGCCACACCCTTCAAAGCGAAACGCATTACTGCTTCACGGCAGAAATAGGCGGAGTGGTGGTACCTACCCGCGCGGACTCACAAGAGGTCTTACCACCAGTAATTACGCAAATTAAATTTTTATTACACGATGTTATTCCTTCACCGTGGAAGTCAATCGAGAACATTTGTTGAGTGCGTATTTCATTTGAAAAATTGGTACCTCGCCTGGGATTCGAACAACGGTGCATTGCTCAACACGAATGCACCGGACGTCTTATCCTTTAGGCCACGACGACTTCACTCAACACGAATGCACCAGACGACATTATTTGTCTATAATGTCATTTTCACACATTTCAGCTAGATAGGCAACCGATTTAGAACTTACTTAACGATAATGATCTAGAAATTTCCAATTAGTAGGCTATCGTTTTTTTTTTCATTACAAATTTTACCATTTTATCAAAAAATCGAATTAGACAAGAACAAAAATTAGCCCCAAAATCATCAAACCTTTCAGAAATCAGTAATCTTATGAAACAATTTCCTAATGATAGTTGGTAACACTAATAGTTACACTAATAGTATAAAAACAATATAATAGTTTCACTAATAGTTGGTACATAAATCTGGCAGTAAAATATTAAAATAAGACGCCACTACCAATAAAGGTCGGAAGAGATTTCGAGTTTTTACCATAACATAACTTTTAGCTTGAGTAATTTCAACTCTGCACAATCAAGCTTTATAAATCTAGTTCACGTTTTTTTTATGATTGAAGAGTTACTGGTGGCCCGGAGGCCTTTCCAGTTTCACCAGGACAGGTGGGCGAGTAAAGGCTCAGCCAGGAGGGGTGGGGTTTGCTCACACTGCCCAAGCACCTCCGAAGGAGACTTAACTCAAGAGCAACTGCTTCGTTTTACTGAGATTTTTTCAGTGAACTTTTGGAGGATCCCGAGAAGATACGTCCAATGGCTTTGTTTCATTTTCCCACATTTGTGCACTTTCACAGATATTAAACAGTTAATAAACCACCGTTATT